TTGAAATGAAAAATAAATACAATTTTTAATAAATTATGGTAAATTTATTATTTACAATAATCTATCATATTATTGTAACTGATATAGTAAACATCTACTAAAAATGTACTTAAATCTTCGGAAAAAAGTGTATAAAAAAAAATATTAAATTTTCATTTAACTAAAGATGTCAAATTATATAATTATAATCTGATTATATAATATAAAATAAGTCATTTTTATTTTTATCTTATTTCTTACAATATTAGTCATCTTAAAAAACGTTAATATCTGGATAATAGTTTCAGTGACCTAGTGAAAGATATAATATTTGTGCTTGCGCATTACATAAATTATTTGAGGAAGGTTTGAATCCTCAGAACAATAATTTCAATACGTTCATGCATTTAACATTAACTTACACTATAAAATTAAAATATAAGTTGTATTCAAATTTGTACTAGTATTTTTGTATCCTATAATTGTTTTAAAAAAATATTTTTTTACGCTCAATAATTTGTCTATATATTCATACACATGTAAGTATTTTTTGGTTATCAAAGTAGTTATTTTAATACTTTTAAAAATCTGAATACTTCATATTAACACTCATTTTTTTTTATCAAGCTTATATTTTTTTTGTTTTCATAGATTAGATAATTGATATTTTTTATGAGCCAATTGATGCAAATATTGACAATTTGTTTTTATTCTATTAATTAATTTTTGGATAATAAATCATAAAAACTTGTTCGTAATTGCTTTTCTAGTACTAAGGTTTATTGTTGCTTTCAAATGTTTACAAATAATATGACGAACTTACAAATATTTTATATTATCGAAGCTAGTATCTAAAAATGAAATAATTTCTCTATAACCAAATTAATCAATTTTTATAAATTAAAAAAAAAAGTATAAATATATTAACCACTTTTATTAGTTATTGGGCATCATTTATTTATTAAATACCAAAATTATTTAAACTTTCTGTAACGTCATTATATGCTTGATGACTAGAATACCATGGGCCATGACTAATGACATCTTACGTGTAACCTTCATGTGCCAACAGTCAGTGAAATTCCATCAACAAATTACAAACGTTTCTATATGCAACTATAATATATAAAACACCGGCCAACGAGTATTTCATTTTACTCATTTGTCGTATAATAGATAACCTTATAAGTTATAATACAAAAATCGTAAAAAATAACATATTCAGTGACAAATTATTTTCTTTAAAATGTTATATATTATGTACACCAATCCTTGTAATTTTTAAAAATCACTTCCACGTTAAGAGATTAGAAAAAAATAAAACTATTTAATTTTTTCATTAAACTGATCATCGTGTTTATAAAATTAAATAAGGCGATACTTCAATATTAATTTTAACATTTCTATCATTAAAACATTTAAATTAATAAAAAATATAACCTGATTTATAATTGTTTTAAATTATTGCTTTCTAAATTACTAAGATAATATACCTAATACTTGCCCTGGAAAGTGTTGTTAGAACAACAGTACCTAATTAAACATGCGATGAATACCTGTTTCTTAAAAATAATTATTCTTATACTTATTTAAAATGTTATCTGAAAATAATTAAATAATATTTATAAATAGTATTTTTATGCACTTAAGAAATATCAAAAACTTTTTAATAATTATTTTATGTCTAGTAAAAACAATTTAAAATATTTTTAATGTAAGACTTATTTTCAGGCCGGGCTCAAGGGGTAGGCTACATAGGCCCACGCCTAGGCCGGTGTTTAAAATGTTTATACTATGGATAATTTTAATATAATTAATACACTGATAAATATAAAACTTCTTGCAGGAATAACATTAAACATTTAATTTTAAATTTAAATATTTATTAACGATAATTGATGAAGTTACACGGTAGTATTAGGAAATTATTAATTATATTATAAATGATTGATGTTCACCATATAATTATTAAGATTACTATAGAAGCATGGTAAAATATTAAACTACATTACAGTTCTATAATGTACGTATTATCGATTTCCCAAATCTTTGTATTTTACATAAATTTATGGTTCCAATTAATTTTAGCGTTAAAATATTTAATTTATATAATGTATTAAATATTTAAACTATTTTCATTGTATGAAAATAATATTAATTTATATCAATTACCTATTATAATAAAAATTAAACAAGAACTGGTATGACAAGTTGTACGTTTAATTTTGATTCGGGCATAACAACAGTGATTTTTAATCAAAATGGTTCTAAATTAACGACATTTTGTTATCAAAGAACGTTGATCAATCAATCAATCAATAAATAAATAAATAAATAAAAATAAACACTAAAACCAGATCTCTTACAAAAATTGACACCCAGGGTGCCGGAAGTGCATTCTTATATAACAATGCGTCGCAAGTCGCGTGCAGGCGCTACGGACACGACACGAGAACTACTCGTCGAAACGGCATCGCATGGTTCCGGTGAAAGAATACAATATTATTATTTTCTTGGACTACGTTCGTTTTTATACGGTTGATATTACCAGACACGAGGTCATTTGCTTATAGCTTATAAGACGAGCATGTACTTGTGTGGTTTAAATTACGCAACGTGATCAGATCTGGACCACGTCCTGTGGTGTTGTACAGGTATACGTTTCGCACGTAGAAAGTATTTTAACCCAACCCGAGGAAGAGGATGTAGGCGTGTTCATTGGGGACAGCAAAGACTGCAACCCCGGTAGTAAAATTTAAACGTGTTTTAGGGTCGTAAAATGTAAGTACATTTTTTATAAAAAGGTACTACTTAAATACATTTAGGAAAGAGCATTTAAAATATTTATCGTTTATTGTTTTGGCCATTGTATTATATTAGAGTTGTTGTTTTTTGTTTTCAACAAAATGGTTATGGTATATCGCTATCTATGAATACCAGAATTATTTTTTTTGTGAATTTATTATAGTTATAAATGTTATTTTTCCAATCACTCTGTATTCTTAAAGTTTTATGTTACTTATGTAATTAAATTAATTATAATAACTGTCAAGTAACAATAATAATATAGACATAATAAAGTACTTAAACAGACTAAACGGTTTAAGTATATTCTTTATGATATACGTATTATTATTATCGAAGATCAAGGGGTACGACGTCGTTATTTCAGGAAAAAATAAATAATAAATACTAACACTAAAGTCTAAAAATAAAAATAAATTATCGATTTGATGATTTTCTGCGATGATAATATGGGTCTGTAATTTTATTAGTATTCAGACATTCAGTTGTGTTGTGACTAGTGAACTTTGGGTTATTTATCCAGTAACAGCACGAATTATTTATTATTGTGCATTTGTAGAGATTGTTCTGTGGACTGTGCCACTGCGGTCTGCAGGTTAATAATAAAAATATTAAAACTAAAAATATTTACGATTATATTACAAATAGTAATAAAAAAAAATGTTAATGATTTGCCACAAGTTCTCAAAAAACCTTCTTAAGAGTTAAATACTGTATAACTGTATACCATCATATGCGTATGTAGAACGCTTATTCAATGCTGGAGTACAGTTATTCGAAAAGAGTAGAGCATCAATAGCAGATAAAAATTTTGAATGACTCTCTTCTTAATGTTTAATGAATTTAAATGACTGTTTTAATTATTATAATTTTGTATTTTAATAAATATTATATTTTGAATGAATTTTTTTTAAATTATAAATATATTGTTACGTAAAAATAAAATTTTAATTCGATTTAACTTAAAATAGATATCTAACTTCTCTATCTATATCGTGAAATATTATTAATTTTACATATTATCTTAATATTTAAATAATATTTTCATTTCTAATGTATTTTTATACAATTGATATAATGGTATGATCATACAATTCAAACAACTAAACTGATTTTAAGTATTTAATACCTTTTAGTGATTTTGTGATTTCTTTTAGAAATGAAAAACTAATAAAATATAAACTATATAGAAATATTGTAAGTCGTATGAAGTACTATAAAAACTTTTTTTTTAACTTGTTATTTTTTCATACGTTAAAAGTTAATAAAATTGTTGGTTAACTTTTAACTTTAAACTTTTTCTTATCGATGCGTATTAACTTAACCGAGTTAAAAAAAAAAAAAAAAAACAACTATTGTCCAGCCTTGAATATCTCCATTGGCGATACCGTGGTAATCATGATATCATGATACAGCGCTAAACTGTTACGAAGGAAGTAGGTAGTCGACGATATCAGATAGAGGTTTGAGCAACAGAACCGTGATTTCCACGTTATGGAAACAACGGTGATTTCATGCCGGATCATCATAAACACAAATTCATAACCGGGAAGAAACGACTAGTCGATTACAAATATTGAATAAGAATCGGCACCCGGTCCGCACCAACTGTGGTACGTATCGAGTACACCGTTTGAGAATTGGACGGGGGGGGGGGGAAACGAAAAAATTACCGTCTCGTTTTTAGAAAACGCACGGAATCAGTACGCAACGGTATTGGTAGGTAAAACGGGAGGGGTGCAAGGAACGACACGATTTATTCGCGCTGCACGGGCGAGAGAGGAACAAGAGTACTTATTACCGATTTAAACGATTTAAAAAAAAAAAACTGTATCGGCGGCAGTACAGCATAACACGTTAATGGTAACGATAATGATGATGACGACAGTGTTTCGTACCGGCGTAAACGTGTCGGTGTGATACGTCGCGGGCGTCGCGCGCAACGAGTGAAAAGAGTTCGGAAAACGGACGTCGAAGCGATCGGTCCGACGGTCAACCGGACCGGAACGCGCGTGGGCCGACGGCGATCGCGTGCGCGAGACGCGCGCCGCCCCCGCGTGGTCGTCGCCGTACGTGCCCCGAGGACAAGTTCATCGGCACCGGGTTGGTGCCAAGGGTAACAAACGTGTCGGGAAAGTAAAAGCGGCCGGGCGGCCGGGCGGCCGGACGGAGGGGGGGGGGGGGAGCCGCGCGGACCGACTTATATAAAACCCGTGCCCGGCGGGACGGTGTGCGATTCGCGTTGTTGCCGACCGTCCGAGAGGCGAGCACCAGATCAACGACGTTCCTCCAGCCGAGACACACGCGTACGCGACGACGATTTCCAGCACGTGACATACTCCAGCACCATGCTGTTCAACGTAACGCCGGTAAGTCGTCCACCGATACTTGTTGGTCGCTCGCCGCCCGCGCGCGCACTCATCGCGATGGGTAACGGTGTCCGCGTTTCCCGGGCGAAAACGATTTTCTCCCGTTACCACCGGTCGGACGAACCGGCCGAGCGCCGTGCTTACGTCCCAGCGTTAAGAGACGATCGTGTAAGACGATCGTCGTACTTCGATTAGGCGCTGCGAACTCGTCGCGAGACGTCACGTCTGTTACGGACCGATCGGCGAGTACGTTCGGTTTCGATCCGGAAGACAACGGTTAACACCTCGGCAATACGAATGGTTTATGATTTCCATTCGTTCGTTACGTTTATTATGTATTCGCTGTCTTCAATAACATACGTGCGTCGTATCATTTACACGAACCGGTACGATTTATTAAATGCTCGACGCTTTAAAAATACTTCAGAAGAAAAAGTAAAGTTCGATATTACGTTTTTTTTGTCACCTCGCCGGTTTACAAACTCTTTCGCTTCAGATCCCATACACGGATACTAAGTTCAATAAAATCCGTGTATGAATTACAGCGAGATAGTTTTTATGATGTGAATGGTTATTGAGAATTTAGGATATACTACTAGATTACACTCAATAAATGAAAAAACGAAAACGAAAAAAAAACGATTCTCTTTGAAAATTGTGATCACACATTTAAATTTAAATGCTTTTGATTACACCGTCAATATTTTTTATGCTGCAGAAGTGTAATCGATAATATCCTTATAATATATGACGACTTCTTTATGCCATTTAAAAATATCGGTTTGATTTTGAAAGTGTCTTTCCAGGTATAATGTTTATTTATACTTTATGTATTTCGGTTTTACATTTTTTTTTTTTTTTTATAGGTATAATTCGTTTTTTACATTTTCACTTAGTTTTTTATGTCAATATCGGAACGAATTTCTATAATATTCTGTAATTAGAACTGTATTATTTTTTATATTTGTTAGAAATAATAAATCAAATTATTTTATAATCTAATAATTAGAATTCGTCTAACGTAAATCGTTTTAATTTAAATCATTTTATTGTATTTTCCTTTTGCGGAAGAGTTTATTAAGATAATTTATTCTCCAAAAAATTATACACGTGTTAAATATATACTTGAACTATACCTTTGTACATTTATACTATAATTAAAATTATTATTTAATTTTAAAACAAAAACATGAATGAGTTCATATTTATGATACCGATTTTTCTTTTTTTCAGTTTTTTATTTGAGACTAAATCCAAATAATTTTAAATAAACTAACTACATGATAAATATGTGTAGTTTTTAACTTTTTAATTGAGTTATGTACATTTTTAATATTTCAATTTATTGTATTGAGTACTTTACATTTATAATACATCTAAATGATATTTATATAAACGTTCAAATGGTGTGTTAAGATAACAGTTATAACTATGAAAAAAAGAATCGTTTAATTTTATTAAACAATAAATATATATAATACAACAAGAGTGTACATTTAGTTTAAAATACTTTTAGTGAAAATTATAGTTTAAGAAATGTTATTTGTTCTTAAGATTTCTGAAATTATGCAAAGTAATCTGGTTTACTTAGTTTTCTTGTAACTTTCGCTAAAATATATGAAACGAAATTGAATTGTTTGATTGATACTTGAGTATTGTTACATTTTTAGTAAAAACAATTCTACTAATTTACTACAGCCTTTAAATGTATGTATTTCATAAGTACATAATTATTGACTTATGTCAAAACACTCAATATGTAGATTATGTCCTGGTAAAATTTAAAATTGTACTAATAGTTTTAATGCTAAAGAGAAAAAGAAAGTATATTGTTCCTATAAATGATGCACATAAATATAATAAATACGTTGTAATTCTAATACATAAATATTTATAATAAATACGTTCTAATATGAATTAATAAATCATTTTTAATTATGATCCTAAATTAAATAAAGAAAATGTATTACATGCAAAATAGTAACAACAATTAAAAAGTAAAAATTAATAATGCATATAAATAATAATACATGAAATGTTCATATTACGTATATTTCCTATTAATTACACGTGCAATTAAGTCAATTGGAAAGAAGAAAATCCGAAAGTATAACTGAACGCAATAATTGTTTATAGCATAACATTATGGTAATGAGTTTCTAGGAGAAACATGTCATATAAAATTGCAGGAGTACTAACTCACGCGAATGATTGATTACACAGATTGAATGTATCATTAGTTGGACTGAACTCAGCAATACATATGTAGATAGATGTTATTTTAGTAGCATAGCGTAATTTCTGTTTGCATCAAAATTAAAAAAAAAAAATCTTAGGTATAAAGTTAAATAAAAATCAAATTTGATTACGTTTTATTTATGATATTTAACATATTAATAAACGGAATAGTATGTACTAAAAATGTTATACAAAATTAGGATACTTACTAAAACTTTGAATAATCTCAATAACAGTTTTTATTTTAATAAATTATACGGTATTTGTTTTATAAATTATGTTCCAAGTTGTACATGTGTATTGATTGTATTGTGTTATGTGTTCTTATGCAGAATTAGTTCGTCTAGATAAAGATAAAAATATACTAGCATTACATATCAAACTTATTATAGAACAACTAGAAGAATATTTTTATAATGCGAATTTGTATTTTACAATTATTTTGACGGAGTAATTTTTTCAGGAACTTTCTATTATTAGCAAAATGGTGTGTCGTAAACACGTTAGTGATCTACACATAATATTTTCCTTACGGAGGAACCTCGTTGAGCAAAATCGATCAGTGAAAGGATTAAAGCTTCACATATTTACGCGACCAGAATAACATTTGCATTTCTTTTAGTAAACTAGAATAATTATTAGTTGGCTAGAGAAAAACTAAACGGTTTCTATTTTTTTCTGTTTTGTTTTTACTTAAACGATTATATAATGTAATTCTATAGACCTAACAAATGTCCAAGTAAAAGAAAGTTCCAGTATTAATGTAACACATCTGAACATCTGCGGATGAATGGAATTTGAATTATAGTAAATCCATTTAGATAACTGGCTGCAATTGAATGGAAATTATGCAAAAAAACATTTTCACGTAATATTATGTCATTACTATGCGAAAAATTATGACGTGAGCTATTTTATTATGAAATTAAATGCGATTCAATATTGCGTACAATAGCTTTTATAATTCTGAACGGTCTTTTAAGAAATTCATCGCGATTAAATAGTAGGTACCTACCTACCAGTAATAATAACACCACAAAATGTTATTCAACTCATTATTTAATTGTGCTTTGACATTTTTTGTGTCTTATTCAAAAAAAAAAATCAGTTTTGCAAGTTTATAATTGAAATAATATTTAAAAAAAATTTTTGTACGAATCTACGAATTAAAAGATAAACTGGAATTAATTTTAAAGAATTATTGATTAAATATAAGATTTCTGTTCTGTTAAATTTACAGAACTGTTCAGATTCCTTATAATTTAACATAACATGTGTTATCACTTGAAATAATATTTATTTTTTTATTTAATTTTCAATAAACATTAATTTTATTTAAAAATTAATTAAAAAAATTAAATATCTTAAATTAATTAATTAATTCTATTTATTTTATTTCATTTAAACGGTATTAAAAACTTATGCGAAATTGCGTTTAGAAATCTTAACACACGTGTTTACGTAACACTATAAAACGGAGTTGCCGAAAAGTCGTACTCGTAGATTTATTACTGAATAATGATAAAATAACTTAGAAGATGAAAGCCATATTATTTGAAGTCTTTGCGTATCGCTTAGAACCTTAATATTTCAGCGAAACATAAACAGGTAGTGTCCCGTGTGGTTTTCTTAAGTGCTCATGCATGAACAAAAAGAATATGATAACATTGTTAATTTTTCTGATCACAATTACACGCGTAACAGGTATGGTTGTTATGTTTAAAACACAGTGTTTTAATCAAAATGCTTTAAACTGTTTAAAACAATTTATTTGAAACATTATCAACAATGATTAAAACATATTTTTCATTTAAGCGTTTTATACTTATTTTTAAATAATTTAGAATTAATGTTAAAACTATGGGATATATATTATACATATAGAAATGTAAGAATTATGACATAGTAAATACTTAAAAATAATATTAAATTATTTTAAAAATGTTAATTTATAAGTAGTGGTGGAATTAGAAGTGGAAACGGGGGTGCATCCCTGGGTGTACATTTTTAGAGATATAATTTTTGTAGTATTTAATTTATTATTGACAACTAGTTTGATATTTTCAATTTTTTTAATAATAATGTACTTAGAACTCAATAAATTTAATTGTATGCTAATTATAAGAAAAAAATTGTATAGAAGTGTATTTGATTCTTGTTCTATGATAGGAGTATTTTAACATTTTCCTCGGGAGTAAAAATTCTTAATTTTGCCTCTGATTACGAATTATTACTAATTAATTATATACTCAACACATAAAACACGAGTAACTATTAGTCAGGTGCAGATCTAGAAATGAAAAAAGTGGGTGCTAGAAAAGTGAGTTATTGCCATAATTCGTTGCGTATGACAATTTTTACGAAGTCTTTCTTACGTCTAATTTTTTTTAATATTTTAAGTATCTACATTCAATATGATTATACCTAATATCTAAGGGGTAGGGGCTTCAGCCCCCATAACCTCCCTTATATTCGCGTCTGCTACTTGTAGTTATATAACAATTTCAATAACTGATAAAGTGATGACGAAAACGATAGTTTTTATCGAGCGTCGTTAGAGAGGTTATGTATGCTGTACTTCAGTGCTTCGTAACACACTGTTAATCACTGATTGGGAATTATTTGTTTTTAAATTCTTTTAAAGCAATTTAACATGACATTTTAAAATTAAATAAACAAAAAAATTTTGTATTCCTATTGTTCAAAAAATAATATGGAATATAATGACTCTGGTAATAAGGAACTTGACTAGGGGGTGATAGGTATGCAAACAACGTACGTGAGTGAGACTAACGTTTTGTTTTGCTTTCTAGTTTTTGGCGGCAGTGCTTTTGTGCACAGCGGTCGCAGCGACCGAGGTGACCGACAAACCGGATATGTCGAAGGGGAAACGCGACGTGGGCCAAGGATACGGCTCGTACGTAGGCTACGCTCCGGCCGCGGACTACGGAGCGCCAGCAGTCGGACAGGACTTGGCCACTGCGTACCAGTACGCGGCGGCGGCTCCGATCGCCACTGCGCAGTACGCCGCTTTGCCCGCGGCTCCAGCCATCGGTGCCCTGGTGTTACCAGCCAATCAGCTATTCTACCCGCAGCAGCAGCAGCAACAGCAGGTATACGCGTACCCGTCGGTCGCGGCCTACAGCGCCCCGTTAGCTTCGGTGGCTTATGGTTCACCGGCGGCCACGGTGTACGGTTTCCAATCGGCCGCTTACGGTGCAGGCCAGTCGGCCTCATACGGTTCCGGTAGCCAAGCCGCGTACAGCTCGCAGCCATCCGCCGCCTCGTACAGCTCGTCGCCGGCCGCCTCGTACGGTTCCCAGTCGTCTTCTTCGGCGTACAAGCCCGGGCCAGTCACTTTCGGCAAACAGGAATACTCTGCGGAAACGTCCACCTACTCCACGCCGTCGTACCAAACGTCACCGGGATTAGGATCGTACGTCTCGTCGTCGTTCAAAACCAACAAGTACCCGTCTACGTCCAGTGACTACTACGCGTCCCAACACCCGTCGTCCTCGTACGGCTTCACGAAACCCGGTTACTCGTCGGATAACTCGTACAACAAATTCAAGTACCCATCGCAGCAGTCGTCGTCGTCGTCGTACGCCGGAGGCGCGTATAAACAGACCCCGTCGGCCTACTACAAACCGTCGCCAGCGTACGACCTGTTGAACCCGTCGTACGGACAGTCACCGTCGTACGGACAATCGTCATCGTCGTACGGCGGACAGTCGTCGTCATATGGCGGACAGTCGTCGTCATACGGCGGACAGTCGTCATACAGCGGACAGTCGTCTTACCCGGTTGTACCGCAAAAGTACAGTGGCTCGTACAGCAGACCGTCGTTGCAATCGTATGGTTCACCGTCGGTATACAAACAACAGTATTCTTCCCTGCACAAGCCGGCTTACAGCAGCTCCGGCCCGGCCTACGAATCGTCTTCCCCGTACAAACTATCCTCTTACCCGGCTGGCTCGTCTTATGAAGGATACAAACCGGTATCTTATGGTAGTTCATCCTACGAAGGTTCTCCGTCGCCGTACAAATCGTCTTTCAGCAGCTCGTCGTATGAAGGATCTTTGTCTCCGTACAAATCAGGCCATTACAGTGGCTCGTCGTACGAAGGATCTTTGTCCCCGTATAAATCGGGCCAATACAGCAGTTCGTCTTACGATGGACTGTCCTCTTATAAATCGTCACCTTACGGTAGCTCACCATACGAAGGATCATCGTCCTCTTACAAATCATCACCTTACAGCAGCTCTCCATACGAAGGATCGTCGTCTTCATACAAATCATCACCAATCTATTCGTCCGGTTCTTTCAAACCGATACCTTCCTCTTACTCCCAAAGTGAATACGAATCACTTTCGTCTTCGGGTTACAGCTCCAAGCCAAGTTCTTCCGAATATAGTTCTAAATATTGACACTAACACAATGTTCCTTTTTTTAGATAAATTTATTTTATAATAAAAATGTTTAGATTGTACCTTTCAACAATTGAGAACTTGTGTATATTTTTATCTATCAAATTAAGTTATTTTCGAACTGTTAAATAATTTGAAATTCGCTAGTTCACAAATAATTATTTTTGAATTGTTTGTTAAGCGTTTTATTTAAATTACATTATTTACTTAAATATTATTATTATAATATATAGATAATGCTTGAATTGTAACATTATTTATTTGGTCGAAGATTGGAGTTAAACAAAATCAAACATTATATATATAAACCAAGTATAAGTGTTAATTACATTTTTTATATTGAATGAAATTATGTTGTTACAAGTAAATATCTTATAATTTATACTATAATGTAAAACAATTCCGTACTTTGAAAATTAATATGTTGTGTCACATATAAGACGTTATAAATGATTCGAACGCCAAGGAACAGTAGTTGAATTTATAAATATTAATAATATATTTTTATTACAAAGATTTTAAAAATATTTGAAACAAAAAATTTATAAATTTATAAAAATTTTACGAATGTAGTTGAAAAATTTGATTAGGATTTTGCAAAAAAAAAAAAAAATGGAAATTTATATTTATATATATTTATACGTTTAAAAATAAATACTTATTGAAAATATTTCTTGTAGTGGTGTTAATAATGTATTGATAATTTATAATAAGGATGGCTTTTAGTCGTTTACTTGCATAACTGGATAAACAATTGTTTGTACAGTAAAATAATTAATTAATGTATATTGCAAACTACAGTTGATAGCCATAAACATGGACTACTAATCTTAAAGAATGAAAAGTTATATATTTATATATAAATGTGTTATGAATTTTTAAATGTGCAAATTTTATTGAAAATCTGGAATATTTTAATTGCTTGTTATACATTTTATTTGCACTAAATTGCAATTTTTTCGGATTTTTAGTTTAGTAAGCTGTATAATTTGAACACGTATTGTACATTAAACGTAAATTATTACTAATATATAAAGTATTAGTAATTATTAGTATGAATATTCCGGATAGAAAATTGATCATAAACTAGGTACCGAGTATTAATCAAGTAAAAATTCAGTGTTACGACGATACCAGGAATATCTCTAATAATTATCATTCACGAATAGTTCCTAATTAAACTCGTATAATTAATACTAATATTATTTTGTATGAACACTTCAATTAAAGAAGTCATTCAGTGATAGTACTTTGGTAGGAGTGGTTAGGTTTAAGTTGATAAATACTATTTTTTTTTTTTTTATTTGTAAAGGAATAAGATTATTTTAAATTTAAATTTTACATAATTATATATTTGTATACTACGTTAACCAAATTATTCACCAACTAAGGAATCTCTGAGACACATTTGCTTAGATACTTTGTAGGAATACCCAAAAAAGAGTTTGAAGAGAAGAGAACACTTGGATTAGAGGGTTGGGATAGAAATGGAGCCGTTTGTAAAATGTTCTATAGGGTTTTTTGTGATTTTCTAATAATAGTTATTTGTAAGTCGATGTGAAGAGTGTTATTGAAGATATATAGAAGAGTATTAGAGATGGATTTTTGATAGAATCACTTGTATTTTATGAATTTAGTAGCTCCTTACAGCTAAATTTCGTAGGTCCATATAAGTTTGAGTAAAATATTTTATTAATTATACTTAATTTTAGATTTTAAATTTAAATTTGAAGTTTGGTCACATAGTACGAAGAGTTTTTGATTTAGGAATGATATAGTTATATGATTGTGTTTGGCTCAGTTGAGTTTTTTTATCTAAAGACAATTCTAAATATTAAATAGTGTATAAGTGAGGAATTATCTCATTAATTAGTGTGACTGAGAAGTTGTGTGAAATTTGAAGGTAAGGTAGATTTTTTTTATTCACCATTGAGAGTATCGAGAAAATAGATGATCGAGATGGTTTCGCAATTATGTCAAATTTGTCGAGAAATCCATGTAAATCGTAATTCTGAAAAATGCATTTTATGTCAAAAGAAAATCGATAATAAAGGAATAATTGTATCATAACTGGCTAGTATCCGTTTTACCATATAACAGCACCTTGTATCTGTAAAACACGCAAAATATATTGTAGTTTTCATTAGCTGCTGTTAATTTAGTGCAATTCATCGGTATCATGATTGGTTACAGGATGTAACATGTAATATTTTTAGCGTGTGTCATCAAACCGGTATAATTTTGCAACTAAAGTTTACATTTTTTTTTTTTGTACCATTAATAATGTTGTGTTTTATTGCTTGATTATTTTATTCAAAGCTAATTTAAATTTGACAGTTTTAAAGATAAGAAACATATTTTATACTAATCTCCGTTCAGAACCATTTTTCGTTTCATTATTGTTTTTAAAAGTAAAATTAAATATAACATAAAAAAGTCCTTACTCTTAGAATGCGTATTTTTCCAGATTTGTTTGTATTCAGCTTAAATTTATTTTATGGTTTTAATAATTTAATAAAATTTTAAAAACTCTTTATATCATGTATTAAATGTAATAATAAACTGCTCATGTTTGAACAGAAATAGTGTTTAACCTTTTAAAACACCAATACTCAGGTTTTCTTTTTTTAATGATCTATCTTAGGTTCAGGATAATGTGAAAATAATTACTAGTTTCAGTATAATTTGATAAAATTGAGAGCTCTATGATATCAGAGCAACTTTTACTCTTTATATATTTTACGCTTTTGTGGCTAATATTAAACGTTTTAAGGCGATTCTATTTAATTTATGAACGTTACCATTTATTATCAATATTTTGGTGTTGAAAAATATGTTAAATAATTAAAATTCAGTATAAAGTAATTCAAATTTAGTTTTAATGTGATTGTATCAATTGAAAGTTTCAGAGTAAAAATAATATAGGTACAATTGGCACATATTTAACCGGTAATGTAAATAATAACAGTGTATGGTGACTAGAGCTTAGCGGCAATAGTATACACATCCCCTATGTAAATGAATATGTTATTAAAAAATTTAATTTAAGTTGTAATTTCAATAACCATTACAGATGATACTTTTTTCTATAAAATAAAAATAAATTATTTTCGTAAAATATATGGAAAACAAAGTTGTTTTAAATTATTAATTTTTATTATTAATTAATTTTCTCACTTCTCGACGTGATAAATTAAAACCCATTTAAAGTTAAAAGTAATCTGAATTCTGAAACTCTTATCGACTAATGTTCGAACTTCTAATCTAACTTCTCATTACTTTGTTTAAATTAATTATATATATTTTGTATTCTTTCTAGCAGTTTTCCATTTAAAAAAATTAATTTTGTTTTAGAAATCAAATTAATTATAAAACTATAAGTATAAATTATCTTGATCTAATACGGTATAAAAAGTGAATGATCACATAGTGAAAAATATTAGACAATATTAAATTGGAGTGATTATTTGATGAAATTGTTAATTTCATAAAGTGGTTATGATATACGAGTATATAGTTTTGTTTATTATTTATTTATGTTAAATAATATATAATAAAAATAATTGTTATAAAAGAAGGTTAGGAACAATAATTAGATGGGCCACTCAAATAGGTTGTATATCTACCTACATATATCGTATCTTAAACACATTAGTAAATAAAGTAAAATGGGTTATAGATTGAAAATAAATTAAATTAAAATGAACAAGGTTCAACTATTAGTAACAGTAAAAAGTACCTGATATTATTGTCTTATTCGTATTATTTTATTTTATTTACACCAAAAACAATGTATAGTTATAAATTAGCTGTAAATTAATTCAATTTCATTACAAGGAATTACATTTTTAAGGATATAAATTAGTTTGCAATTAATTTATATAGTTAATATAAAATTATACAATTTAATTACAATTAACATCTGACATGACGTAGATAAAATCAAATAAATGTTATCTAAAGAATTATATATTATTTTTATAATGAATAATCATTATCCTTTACAAATAAAATTGTGATAAGAAATAAAAATATTTTCTAGACATTTCATAAAAAAAAAAAAAAAAACATTATATATTATTTTATGGATTTATTAAAATATTATAATTATTTTAAAATAGCGTATTAAAATGCAATGAAAATAGTTTGTTCCATTTGTACGACTGAAAATAATTAATTTAAAAGTTTATTATTTTTATGAGTTATTGATTAGAGAAAAACGATTTATGGTTTGTTACGGTTACAGCAACTCATTCATATTTACGATGTGGCGATTGTGTGGCTAATTTATAGAGATCAATGATAGTTTCCACTTTCCTACCTCCGATTTGAGACGCTCAGTATTAAATAAATAAAATGTTATTCTCTTTTTTGTTAGAATATTTTAATCTCAGTTGAACAGTTTATGTGATATAACTAATATTTATTAATAATAATTTCATTGAGTTTACATTTTTTAAATTATTTATTCGATAACTGATGTTTATATTGTTATACATTATTACAATTAATTTATTTTGGTTAACTAAAAATATTTATGCATTTATATTTGCTAGTATAATCTTTTATTTTAAATATAATATAAACTTAAATTATTTAATTTAAAACACAATATTACTTTTTAAAATTGGTTTATACTCATCGCTAAAATTATCTTATTGTATTAAAAAAAATAATTAGGTACTAATACAATTTTGGTCTTAGAATATGTAATTTTTGACGTTTATTAAAATTTGACCACATAACCTAACCACTATACTTTTATATACTGTAAATTTAACCGTTATTACAAAGTAAAATTAATGACTGAAGTTAAGATAATATCTTATTTCATGTTTACGCTTTGTTCGATTTCTAATATACTTTGATATTTAGTTCTCTATCCTGTGAATGAAATTTCATATGAAAGAAAACAGCAAAACTGCGCTTTGATCGTATTAGATATTATTCAATAGCAATAATGTCAAAACCAAACAAAAATACTCATCCACGACCTTGTCATTAGAAAGTAGTCACCTGCAATATCGCATAAACCAGTTCTACACCTTTTACTTCCCAGTCTTTCTTTGTTATTGACTTAAGTTTCGATTTTGAATTCAAAGATTTAGTGTTTAAAATGACCAATGTGTTACCTATCATATTATGCGTTGATGTTTAAAAAAAATTATTGGTGTTTACTCGTATTTGTTTTTTTTTTTCCGTAAAATGCAAACATTTTGTTTTACGAGGTGTTGAAACTCTATGTAGTAATTACGTTATTCATAAACGTAGTCTAACACTTAAAATAGTCCTTGATACACATAATTTTATTTGTATAATAAAATTACCGTCGGTAATCTTTAATGGAATAACAATGGAGCTACCTAATACGTTGATGGATAAGACGTGTATTTACGCACATTGTTCCGGTTGCAAAAATTTAAATTACGTCACAATAAAATATAATTATACTAGGTATTTGTTTTTTTTTATTTTTTGTTAGAGTAATATATCTTTTTCAAGTAAGGAGAATTTATGTTTTACGTAAACAATAAATTTTCTTTTTTACTTCCTCTTATGATAGTGTTGTATCCTGATTAAAATGGCCAGCTAATATGAAGTTTTTAAGATTTTTTTGAAATTTTGATGTAGATGATATTCACAACTAAATACAAATGCCATGTGTTGAATATAAAAATATATTCTAATCTCTCTTTTTTCAATTCTCTGTTTTTGTATATGTACTAAAGAAAATTTACAAAAAATAAAAAAAATATGTACTATGAGCAAGTTTGAGTACAATGAATATAAAATTTTATTTTAAATGGTTTAATTTTTATTCAATCTAGTTACTTTATTAGTGTTAGACTCATTTCCGTTGTAGGTATCCGATGCTAACTGTTGATTACGTATTGTTTCTTGTTACATGAGATTTGTTCCTATACTAAAGTACATTATATTGTGTTTCGGTGATTTAAAACTTCATTAACTTTGTAACGTCCTAAGTTGTTTTCATTGTTGTACTTTTCTCCGCATAAAATCGTTTGTTTTTATTTTACAATTTAATTAAGGGTAATAATGATGATTTTTAAAAGAGAAATTTTATTATTTTGAACATAAGACATTATTTTTTTTATTTCTGTTACATATACAATGTATATAATTGTACTGTTTAGAGCACATATATAATGATAACTTGCGTATAAATATATTCACTTAAAAATTAGTGGTGCATTTGTGAAGTCTTAAAATATAGATCAAATGTTACTTATTTTCAGTTTTTACTGTTCTAAAGAATGTTTGATTTCAGTACATTGAGAGATCGTCGAAGAAGAATGTTAAGATTCTGGTGAATAAAAATTGTATAAGAAAAAAATGATTTTATTTATTAAGTAATGTGTATTATTTCAATTAGAATATCCAATAGAATATGATATTATTGCATAATTTAGTTTGATTTTTTATTTGCAATTCAAATATAATCTGTATGAGTTGCAATCACGCGTGAACAAAATTGTTTGTGTATTTTATAATTTTATTTTGTTATGTTAACAGACATAATTTACGAACCTCAAATATTTATGTTTCGTATTGTGAAAACGTATGGAGAATATTACAAATAAGATAAAATCTATGTTGTATAAATACAAATAATGAATCATAAGTTATCAACAGCGAATAGATATCGTTATCATCAAAATTAATAAACGGTATTACTTTACCTACTTTAAATAATACACTATAATTGATTGATAATAGAACTAATAATAGGTAATCAAGAAATGATAGATATTTTATTATGTAAATTACTAATAAATAAAAATGTGTATATTAAAATTAACGTTTCCTCATTATCCTTACCTTGAAAAAACTAGTATTGTACAAATATTATAAACATTAAATTTTACAATGATGATTTAGATTGGATCTCTAACTATCAAAATCTGATCAAATTTACAGTTACATTGTCATTTTTTATTTAATTGCAATATCTACGAAAACTATTATAAGAAATTAAAATAATGTTATATATTTTATTATTCAGGATATTTCAATAATTTTACTGACACATAAAATGTTTACCGCAAAATGGATAGAACATTTCGAAGCTTATAGGTATTCCGCTTTGCGCGATTTAATGATTTGAAATTTACATATTAAATGCATTTTATCGTTGTAATATTTAACACTCTAATTGATTATCTTTATAGTACAAAGTGTACCTCAATAAGAAATTTAAAATAATAAAATAATAAAATTAATTAATATATACGAGTATAAAAACTGTCATTATGTTTATTTGAGCACGGTCTGTAAAGTTAATTCGAACTATTATCCCTTGGAATAATCAACGTCGTCGGACGATGAATTACTATAAAAGAAAGTATGGGATGGTTTCCTGACATTTCTTGTAATGCATTTTTAATATTAAAAGTATTATGTACACCGAAAAGATAAATCTAATTACTGTTTCCATGTTACAACAGGCCGTGTTAGTAATTTTATCTAAAATGTTTGGAAGAAAGTAAATTTATTTTCATTTGGATGTTTCAACCGAAATCTTAGAAAATGGTTGTAAACCTCTGTATTAGAAAATCAAAGATAAATTATATTTTAAAATAATTTGTTCATTATAATTTAATTAGTATTATATTTTGAAATACACTAACATAATTACACCCCTTGGGATATTTGTTATTTATTGACTTATTATTATAATAAATAAATAATTATTATTATTATAGTCACCGAATTTTACACATATATAAAATAACAATAAAAATATTGTTTTAGAGCTAGATTTGTTTAAAAATGTCTGTCAATCTATATTTTTAAGTGGTTTATGGTTAAAAGGGAACAGGTAACCGAAAACGGATCTCATGATAGTTTAGACTGAATAAACTAACAATGATGCGTAAAATCAGTATACCGTTTCATAATAATAATATGTACTCTATTTATCTAAAATCTATTACTAATCGAGTGCAAGGCACAGTGAACAAATAGATAATGTCTAATATATAAGCGTTGTGTTGGATAAGTTTATCCGAATCGATTTGTGTACAAGAATCTGCAGTGATAGAAGACAGTGGTAGAAATGACATTGCCCGTGACTTGACGCGTTCATTTCACGTGATCCGTGATCCTATTCAATAATGTTAGTCAACACAACGGTGGGGAATAATAAAGATCACAAAGGTGTTTCTTTCATTACTGGCCTGAATGAAAGCGATTTAAATCACCGACAATTCGTATTATTCGAGCACACTCCCCTCCTTTTATTTTCCATGTGGTTGCGAGGGAAATACATCGCGCGATAATGTAGCCATGGTCATTTTTGCACGTTTCCCGGCTCCAATTGTGTGCAGAGAGTGATCGCGGAAAATTCTCGCAGTCAACATGTTGTCTACGTTTGCAGTAAGTACATGTATTTTATCGAATCTAAATTAGAGTTAATGTATTATCGGCGGTTATTAGTAATACATACGTATATAACACAGAAAGGTTTTCATTGGACACTTATAGTTGATCATAAAGTCACAATGTTAAAACACACACAACGGAATTATTTAATGGGTCGATTAATTTTTTGAACAATTTATAATTTTGCTTTTAACTTGGAGTTTATTATTGACTAAAATATACTTAATATTATATTTTAACCTTAACTAGGCTTACGTATATATTTTTAATGTTTCGAATAACTTAAAATTTTAGTACACAATAAATAGTTTAGTTTAAAGTTAAAAATGAAATCCTTAGTTCAAGATACTATAAATAAGATTTATTTTTTTTTGACTTAATTAATTAATTAATACTATGAATTAAGATTGTTTAAATAAAATGGGTTTCGGTAATAGTATTATAATTAATTACAAAGTAAGAGTAAAAATAAACAATGGAAATAATTAAACGATTTAAACACATTATTTATAATTAAATATTAATGTTAATAAACTATTTATCAGTGAATAAGCCAATATGTATGGAAAAAATCTATATTTATTTATAATTATTAATGGTCATTTTTTGACTTATGATTAAAGAAAACGAATTATAAATAGTGTATTATTATAAAAAGCAATTTTCTCTTATGGTAAAAAACTGATACTATATAATTTCAATTATAACCTGTCAGCACCTAAATTATTAAAAATACAAAAAACAAATATTAAATTATATAATTTATTAAATTAGGCTTTAAATACAGTTTTTACATAATTTTGAAGAATTGGTTAGTTTAAATATATTAAAATATCAACATATACAATATAAATGTAGTCATGTGCGAATGATAAATAAATATAGAAAATAAAGCAAATTAATATAATATAATAAAGAAAAATAATGGCGATTGGATTAATTTTAAAAAGTTTTTGCCATTTTTGCTTGTCATTTTATTTTTCTTTATTGAATTTCTCGTCAAAATTACTGTTTCGTCTTGCTTAATAATGGTTATGATTTAGTCTTAATCACACGACCACGCCAAAACGGTTTGTAATTCAATGTACTTTCCCCAATGTTTATAATACGTCAATGATTCGAATCGGCTTACGAATTATCGTGTCTAATTACTAAAACATTAGTTTTAAAGATTTTATACGTTCAACTTGAAAATTAGACGTCGTTGATTTTTATGCTAAACAAAATTGACTAATAAATATTTACCTTTAAATAACTAATTCTAATAAATTGTTGTCTGTGAGCCGAAAATTTTGATACATTTTTAAAATATATTAGAACCGCGGAAGTATCAAAACGTACACCAAAAGTTCCAATAAGGAGTGTATACTTACTATTTTGTGACATGTACGTCTATGCAAACATTCGTTGTGTTTTTCCTTCGCGTAATATTCAAGTTTAAAAATATGTATTTGATTCAAGTAAAATGTGAAATTATGAATCAAGATAAATTTATTGCTAGAAATTACACAGTCAAAGCCCTGAACGTGGAAGTAAATTAGGTAGAAATATGGTAGGGGGTGCTTAGAATATGGGTGATAATAAAAATTTGATATTTTCAATTGTAATGAATACTATAATATTATCTTTAGTACCCTTTACATAGCATTATAGCAAATAATAGAAACAAGCAACGTTACGCCATGTGGTCTCTATTTTCGTTGAATATTTTAATTTCCGAATAGAAAAAAAGCAATAGCTACGCGATTAATTAAGAATTTTTCATAGAAAGCATAAGTTAACCTAGTAACGAATTTTTTTAATTGAAAATAATTTATTACAGATTATAAATAAATATTATTAAAGCGTTACTTGGAACAAAGGAAAATGGGAGTAATTGCACCTTTTTTTTTTCATTGAATTGTACTAGGATTAAAAAAAAGGACAGTGTTCGAATTGCACTAGGATTTAAAAAAAAGTTAACATTCAAATTTAATTCGGGTGGATTAATGGAAATTTTCGACTTGAAATGTAATGCGGAACATTTGATCGACAGAAGGAATTGTATTGATATACTGCACCCTCGAATGTATTATATTATCAATTATATATTGTTCGAAAAAATTCGAGTTTTCGATGTTATTATCGATATCGTCAACGACAACGATGGACTTCCCACTGGTCGTTTAATAATTTCGTCTAAACGCATCATACCTGTTTTTAAGGCGAGTGCAATTCGAACATTTAGGTTTCGGCGAGGTGTGCGAGATGCGCAGAGATGAGCGTGCTTTGAACGGCACCTAGCATGATCATTTCTGCGCCCGTGGGTGGTGTGGAGAGGCACGGGGATTAGTTGTACTTACTGATGTGCCGTGGGTAAATACCCGACGGGTAGGTAAATATTTTGGGTATTTACCTACCAAAAATGTAGGTAAATATTTATTTTTTTTTACTGTCAAACATAATCATTTTCATTAAATAAATTTCATTTTAAAATTTGAAGCGTTTTGGTTAGTTTTTATATTCTTAGATTTATTTGTTTCCCCGTTAAAAGTGGTATTGGTTTCAAAGCGAATAAAATTAACAAAAACTTCATAAATATAATTTATGTACTCTAATCATCAGTCTTGGAAAAACATGAAAAAGTCAGGAAACAATCATAAAAAGGTATTGTGATATCAATCGATTGGTTTTAGCATTTAAAAATAAATTCATTCAATTTATCGGGAATAAATTCCCGGTATTTACCGGGTATACTCGCCCATCACTAGTTGTACTAATGAAAAGTTTGGCCTTTGCAGGTGTGCTTTTGGGCGACAACCGCGTTCGCCGCGTGCAACGTCAAGACGCGGGTGCATTACATACGCGCCGAAGACCGGTCACGCGGCGCCGTCAACTCGTATTTCCCCGAACGGTTGCAGTCGCGCACGTCATCCATTTTCGGGTCCGCGGGCGGACAGGCCCAGACCGCGGCCACCGGGTTCCCGTACCGGTTCGTCTTTCCGGCCAACCATCCGGCGCTCAGCCGGCCCGTGTACTCGTCGCCGTTCGCGCAGACCTCGCATCAGTCCGAATCGCCCTACTCGGCCGAGGATCTGTTCTCGCCCTCGTCGTCCAAACACCATCCGCTGTCCGAATTCAAGAACCAGCAGCAGCAACCGCTCGGTTACGAGACGATCGGCAAAGTCCAATACGAATACTTCGGCGGCGGCGGCGGCGGCGGCAAGCACCTCGTGCAACCGCAACCGTACCATCTGATCAAACAGCCGAAACACTACCAGAGCTACGAGCTGGGGCCGAACGCCGCCAACACCGTCCAACACCAGCCCAACCAGCCGGTCCACCAGTCGTTCTACCCGTCCACGTCCGCGTCCGTTGCCCAACCGATCATGTTGCTCATACCGTCTTCCGGGCAACCGGGCGCCCCGTACCAGACCTTGGTGCTGGTCCCGTCGTCGGCCAGCTCGCCGCCGCCGTCGCCGCCGCCGCCGCCGTCACTGCCGCAACACCAATCGCCGGTGTTCACCGGTTTCCACCCGCAGATCCATCACCTGCCGCCGCCCGCGCAATTTTTGCCCGGTTTCGTCACCCATCCGCGAGGACCGCCGATGGTCGCCAGCTTCCCGTCCGGGCTCGGCGGCGGCGGCGGCGGTAGCATCGGGCTGGGACGGTTCCCCGGCGCGCAACTGTTCCACCGGTCACACGAGCCGCTCCAGAAGCAACAGCACCACAGTCAGTACTCGCAACAAAAGTCGTCCCACTCGTCCCCGTTGCAGTTACCGCCGTCGACGTCGTACCAATCGCCTGCGTCGTACCAAGGTTCCGGGTCGGTGAACGTGCAGCACACCACGGCGACCGGATCGGCGTCGGCTGCGGCTGCTGCTACGGCGGCGGCGGCGGCGGCGGCGGCCGCGGCGGCGCAACAACCGTTAGAGGACAAGGTTAGCCACGGTTCGGGTGCGTCCGGAGAAAATTCGGACGACCGTAGCGAAAACAGCGCCGAGACGAAACGCGAGGAAAAGTCGCCCGAGTTCGGTGACAAGACCAACGCGAAACTTCCCAAACGGATCGTAGTCACGTGACGCGTACTTATGTATACATTTAATTATTTTCATCATTCGGGCGTTTGCCCGTTACTCGATTGCGTCGTGCCGAACCTGAACGCTCCAGCAAGCCCTAATTGTGAATGAATAGAATCGTTTCAACGTCCATTTGCAGTTATTTTCAAAAAAAAAAAAACCCCCGCCGAAAATTCAACTTCTCGTTCGATGTGTAGACTTGAATTGATCTCCCCCAGATCAACGTCCAATAGTCTTTTCTCACACTGCACATGTTTGTACAGGCAAAATGATAACATATAATTTTTTTAATACTGTACACACTGTACGTTCAATCATTTCATTCGATTTCAATTTCATAAATCATAATATTCTTTAAAAATATTTTTATTTTTATTTTTTTAAGTTTAAAATGTAAATAATGTTGAATGGAAATCGAGTATCGATACTTTTTCAATTAAATTTTTATTTACGTCTAACTTAATTATACTTTTTATACTGTATAACACTGGTTAATATACTGAAAATTCACAATGGAAACACTACGATGGTTTTATTATTACATTTAAGATTATTTTCACACATTCTATATACCTCAAATATCTTATTCGCTGTAAATCTATACAATTCAAACAAACAAAATGTAGTTTATGTTAGTTCAAATTAAAAGTTTGAACAACTGTTTATATGATAATCTGATTTACATAAAAGTTATTGTCACTTTTCTGAACCAAATACGACAGAAATATCCTGCATAATGTGCATTTAGTTTTACTAAAATTTGCAATTGTTTAGCTCTTATAAATTGTATTTTCATTAAAATAATGGTAGAATAATGATGAATAATTTTACTTTTATTTAATAATTTTCTTTAAATATTTATTAGTTGTATAGGTACTATACAATAAAAATATAAAAAATAAATAGAATTTTAATGATCATATTGTTGTTTTATCAATATTCATTGAACTGTGAATTATGCAATTTAAATACAAACAATAATCTAAATTTTCTTAATTTTTTTCCGGTTGGCGAAATCTAAAATAAATAAATAGTATATTTTCAATAATTATCAAGGAAATTCTTATTTTCATACTACACATTTCATAACGCTTTAATGCTTTATACCTGAAAATAAATTTTGCGGAACAAATCGAAATTGATGTCTTATATTCTATTTTTAAGAAACACTTTTGGCACTTAATGACAATTTTATAGAAAATAATTATAATAATTATAATAATATAATATTAAAATAGGGAGGTATTTTCAAAGAGTAGTTCTTATTTATGTTTTGTGTCGATTGTAAATAACGTTAGGTTTTTAAAGAACAATGTAAAATATCTATGATAATAATAATTAAAAACTCGGACATCGTATGGGTAAAAATCTCTTCACTTAAATAGACAATACTTTTAACAATAATAATAACGTACGTGTGTGATAAATTGACTCAAGTTGATCTAAAAAGTGTTTCGAATCGTATTCGCTGTAGAAACCGTTTTTTTATTTAATTTTTTTTTTCGTCATTCTTCAAACAATATTATTTGTTCAGCTCTGTCCATCTCATGAGCAAGTAATGCGTTGGTTTTCTGTTTATTATACCTGATGAATTTTATATTGCAGATTTCGCTTTCATCCATCAGTTTCTAGAGACCAATGAGTTTCTTCGATTATCCATGGCCCGGCTTGTCATTAATTTTTTTATGTACGTATTGTTTCTTTTTTCGATAATAAAATAAACATTTCGAAGGTCGTCTGGGCAAAAAATACACTATTAAATGTTAAAAATACTCCCGAAAATGCAGACGTGTTGTTTAGAAAAGGGTTTTTTTATGATGAAGACAACACGGAAAGTAAAATATTAAAAAAACGTATGTATTAAATATGCCCATCAATAAAGCCGGCTTTCATAACATATGTACATACAAACCACGGTGAAATATAATATACAATTGGGACTTCAAGACATAAAATACAATTTATTATTTTTATACTCTTTTATGTACATTTTCATTTTAAATATATGATTGCACTTATACTCTCTTTTACCATTATTTTATTATATATTAATTTGAACAAAACTTTGCTAAAAACCAATTTGAGAGAGTTAGCTGGTATAGGGGTTTGGTGAGGTACTAGAATATTTGATTATTAACTTCATAGCAGCAGTAAATTTTAGAATTTGAAAATGGTTCTCAGTGAAACGTGGTTTTTGGTGAATACTATTAAAATTTTAAATATTAATAGTTATAAATGGTATTAAATTATTAAGTGAAAAATTATTAATAGCTGTCAGCTTGACTAAAAGAAAAAAGAAATCTTAAACAGTCAATCAGTTCTAATGTTTTAAGTAAAACTCTGAGAACTCTATTCGTGATAAAAAATTATAACACATAAAGTTATAAATACTATACATCCTATGTGCATATTATAGGGTTTAACAATTAATTAAAAATTATACGTTAAACGCATAGTTATTCATATGGGTGATGGGAAGTTTCCTCACCAAGCATAACAGCTAAATGTTTACATATGTAATATCCAACACAAAAAACATATACTGGAACTTATATTCCAACACGAAAATGATTTCCCGGTACGTAAGTTTTTACACGAATAAATGTATACGATTTATGACTAAAAATCCAGATAATAATAAAATAAACAAACATTGCGATTATTTAGTGAAAGATTATACAGGGGAAAATAGTACATTTTCCTCTAGTATGTATTTGGGATAGCCTTATTGCTTGTAGAAGGCTTACTACAAATGGTTGTGAAGGTTTTCAATCCAAATTCAACTCAAATTCTTATCATCATCATCGTCATCATCCTAATTTATTCAAAATAATGGAAGTCTTAAACATGTTTTACATACAGATAAATATATTATGATAAGAACATAAAATACCAATAACCTAGAGAAGTAAGCAAAATTAAGAAAATTACAGAAGCAACCAAATTTACAACTTCAAACTTTTAACACAGTATGATTGTGTTAAAAGTTTGACCTTTTGTAAAAGGTGACATACCATTGAATTTATATTATCTATATCATTATAATAGTATACAAAATTATCCTATTAAATATGTACAATATATGGATGACTATGTATTATCATACACAAAAAATAAATGTTATCTCATCAAATATGTTGTCGGCCCTAAATAAAATGGGTAGGAAATTTATATTCGTTATAAATTTTTTTTGAGTAGGAACTTACGTGGACATATCCATAAGTGATTTTTACCTGATACATCGTGTGGAAACTTACATTTGCCCTAGAATTCTGCTTAGGTTTGCCATATTATTTAAATATATACAAATGGATCTTAAATTTATAATATACTAATTAATTTTCTGATTAAATAATAAATAATAATAATCATATATAGAACTAAAATATAGCGAATGAAAATATATTTATCTAACGTTATACAACTGTAATTTATATTTAAAGAAAATCTATAATCCAATATTTCATGTTCGTTTGTTTTTAATAATACGTAATTGTGACAATTTTTCAGTGAATATAAATTATTTGAAAACAGTTAAAACGTGTACAAGTCTTTAGTATATTTTAGTAAAAAAAAAAAAAATTCCTACGAATGTCTGGAGCAACATATGCTAGTTATTATCATACGTAATAAAATATGTTAAACATTTTGTGATTATGTATAACAATAAATAGTTGTACGGGCATAGAATCACAATTAAACTAATTAGGAAATGTATTATATTATGTAATCATATTTTATGATTTTGACAAAATGATTTATAAAAAATTCACTAAAGTGAATTTTTAAGAGAATAAATTATAAATCATTAATTGTTGAATCAGTTTTTGTTAATAATAACTTACTAAAAAAGTTAAGAAAATTAGTGTAACTTATATGAAACCATAATATTTATTTATTTATGAAAATCAAGTTTGATAAAAAAATAAAGAAAAAATTATTGCAATAAGCAAAAAACCTTAAGGCAACCATTTTTATCAAAGAAAATGGTTCATATTGATTCTCTTATTTTGGGGGTATATTTAGATTACATAACATACATATACAGTTTGAAACAATAGTGTTGAAGAGAAATGAGAAAGGCATATAGGCTAACTTCTTAATGTAAGCTACTACATAAATAGTATTTTAAATTATTTTGTAATCATTATAAACTTAAAAAGTATAAAAATCTATAGGAAACATAAAATTCATTATAAAATAATGAAAATTAAAAGTTAATAAATAATTAATCTTCGTAAATTAATATTTAATTAAACAAATAGTTTCTATATAGAAATAAATGAATTAATAAATAAATGCTCAGTCTGAAGTATTGTTATATTTATAAAATACGACCAGTTTCGAATTAAAAATTCATCATGGGGCATTTTTATACAAAGTCTATAAAATCGCGACTAAATATGAAAAAATAAAGAAATAAAAAAAGGAACCGGTAATATTTTACAAATATAATAATAATCAAATTTTTTCATTTTTGTATATAAAATATTTGTTTATTTATGTATATATATAAAAATTATATATTTTATATAGAGAAAGAAAAAAACCTAAGACATACCGTAAAAATTATAACTATTAATACCTTCAACTGAACATTTAAAGTCTTTAGACTATAGTTTTATACTTTAAATATACGTGTATCTTGAAAATATAGACCCATTATTTTAGAATTTGTTCAAAAAAAAAAAATAGTTTTCTTTAAAGATTAATCGTAAGTGCATTAAAAGGTTATTTAATTAGTTACATATATATAGTATATATATAGTATATAATAGTTACATATATGTATGTAAAGTAGAATCGTTGATACTATAACTTTTCTTATGATGAAATCGTCGTTAGGGAAACAATGCATTTTACTCATTCTTGTTAGGCGTAAGATAAATTCATATGTTGATGTTCTTGCGTATCGTGTATTCTCAATAGTGAATATAGTGAATAGTGAATTTTTAATATTTTATTTCTCTTATTAATTATTGATGTTGATGTACTAGTTATTATTAGTCCGTATAATGTATAATGTTTGAGTAAAATCTATACAATTTTCTTAAAATTAATCTTAATTAAATATTTTTATTTTCATTCAAAATAAGAATCTAGAGTATATTTTTATTAGCTTATAATATTCTATTAGTGTTATCTTGTAAAGTATTTTACCCTTAAATAATTAACATAGGCTACATATTATACACAAAATCAACATGAATTTCATTTATTTTATTTTTATATACAATGTACTTATTTTATTTTGATAGTTATAAAAGTATATCTAATGTACTATTTTATGAAATATATAATTATCTTATAATGTCGATGATTTAGCAAAATAAATATAAGGATGGAATTTGAAATCTTAAATGTATTAATTAATTACTATTCGTAAATATAATAAATTTACTATTGTATAGGTATTTTATTTAAAATTGATGTATTATTACGTAAATTATTACTATTGATTGCAATTCTTGTTAATTTTTCATTACATTTAAAAAATCAGTATGAAAATTAAAATAATTATTTATTTAAATTGTCACTTTGATGATGTTTTCAATAAATTATTAGGGTTATAACTTTTTTTATAAGTCGTCTTTCTTTATAAGAACGGTCTTTAAAATCTGAAATTGTAATTCTATAATTAGTTATATGTATTAACATTTATTGCATTTGAAATTATGTATTACTTGATTGTATAAATATTAATTTTTAGTTATAATTATAATCAAAGCATACCATAGTTAATTTTATATTTAATTATAAGTATATCAAATTTATTATAATAATATAAAACGTCTTTGTATTATAGCTAATTAGATTAAATGGTATACGATATATGAACTTTCAATCTTTAAAATTATAATTTAATATTATTGATTTTTTTTTTTTATAAGCAAATATAAAATTTCAGAAATACAATTGCAATATGTAGTTTTAATACTTATAAAATATTTATACGTACTCGTATACATTAGATCCTCTAATTAGGTACTTTCAATATAGGCGGCTTGGTTTCATAATATTCTACTATTTAATATTATATGTTTTGAATATTTAAATGTCAATCGTTTAAAATTAATTAAGTCTACGTGCATATTTAGGCAACTGTTAAAGATAACATTGATTGGGCTGCAAAAATTTTTGAAATGCCAATAAATACAATATATTTAAATTTACAATAATACTATTAGCAATTAAGTGTTAAGAAATTTGAACGTTAACCAAGTACATATTTAAAGCATACTGTGGTGATATATTTATGGTAAACAAAATATTTTATTAATAACTTAATAATATATTATTAAAAGTTATTTTAAATTTTAAAACTTAACTATAATTGTTTTATTTTTATTAAAAATGGAATAATATATATATATGTATATAAAAAATATATTATAATAATAAATATTTAAAACCTTTAAAATAATTATATTTTTAAATTTATTTTAAATACAGATTTATATCATCTATACTTTTCAAATTAATCATTTTATCTTTATTTTAGCTAATATTCACTATCTTAATAAAATATAACTCAATAAAAATATTGAAATTTATCTATAGACTTAACTAACACTTAAAGAGTACAAATACAGTATATAATGACACTCGCATAGTTTTTAATATTGATTACTACGAATTAATATTATAATTCAATATATGATATGTAATATTCAAGTATAATGTATATTTCGTAAGTTTTATTTTATTTAAATCTACCTATAAATTATATCTATATATGTATATACGAGTATTATTAAATTATTAATAAAAATACTGAAATTATATACACCAAAAATATAAACTATTTATTATTGAAAATTAAACAAAATACATTCCGGTCTACTATAGACATCGGTGTGTATCATATTTTCTTGTTAGTTTTTCTAGAAGTCTTTAAAAGTCACAATATTTTTCGTATAAATTTTTAACCAATGTTATTCACCACTTTATCTATTGTATTATATGAGTCATGTGCGTACACCATTTTAAATAGGACTAAGGTCCGTTCATAATTATAATATATAGATAAACAAATACATTAGTAAATAGTGCATATATGTGTTTTATATAGTCTACGGTTACAATTAATTAGCAAAAATTAAAAACATACAATTTAGGAAACAAAAAGTATTTTTTATTTACTAACTAGTATTCTACTATTGTGTAATTCAAAAGTAATTAAAAATAATTATTATTATGCTTCTGTACCGGTATCGTGCCCCGAAAAGTAAAGTGGCAAGAACAAGTTGACCAAAAATTGTCATTGTCTGCTAATATTTAATTGGTTACATAAAAATTCGTATTTTTTTACTGTAACACTTACAACTTCCGAATTAATATTTCAGATATATCCAAAATTTTAATATTGCTTCCTCTGCTATCGAATACGATTTCACTTGTCAAAATCATAAGATATTTATTTATTTTTGCTAATATGATTCTTTTGTAAAGTTTGATAAAGATATTTATATAAATTGTTTCCAATTTGTAATGATGACTGATGATTATTTAATTGAATTTCATTTCATTTGTTACGGGAACGACATTCTACCTTTGTAATTAGACGATGTACTTAGGTAGATCGAAAAAGCTTAATGGGAGGGCAAGAAACAAATGAAGAAAATTTCCTATAATATTAATATAAAAATTAGAATTAAACATAAATAAAAATTATAATCGTATAAACACCAAGAGTTAGAATATAAAAAAAATATTTATACATTTTAGCATTTAGATTTCAGATAAACCTGAATTAGTTATGTTATATAGTAAGTAAAAAATAAAAATTATTATCCTGACATAATCAGCCAATGAAATTTTTTCTGTGATATGGTATTTGAAAATAGTAAAATCATAAATTACGTTTATAATACATCAGTATAATTATTAACAGGCAAGTTATAAGTCGTTAAAAGTTGTTAATTACATGTTAATACAAACTTTTACCATAACTATTTGCTGTAATTACATCTGAAAACATGTTCAAGACGAGTATTTACCATGATGGTTCGACAAAAAATCGAACTACTTATTACTTGTCTATAAAAATAATTGCATTTTGAATAGAAAATAATAAAAATCGGTTAAACGTTTTTAGAATTTGAGAGGTATCTTTATGTTTTGCATTAATTATAAATATAATAATGTAAGCAATTATTTTCTCGTATGTTGGGTAACGTCGGATTAAATATTTGCGAGTATTCGGTCAATTGTACTTTCGAATCCACAAATGGGAAAAATTAATTTTTCTTAAATGTCAACGAATGTATCTTTCCATGTATTTATTGCAAAAATATTGGAAAGATATATATCCTTGACGTCGTATGATCGTTCGGGTGAAATTACCGTACGTAAAAAAAACCAGACTGGAATTTGACGGAAAACCACTTTCACTGAACCGTGGTGACATACGGGATACAATGCAGACGATCCAGACCAGTTTTTCGACTTCCTGTGGTAAAGCGGTCGTTTGCATTCTGAAGTGGAAAGCACATACGAATCAGCTCCCACGTAGTTACGTCATCAACATTTTGCTGAAAATAGAAACCGACTACTGCTAATCGATTGTTTTTCTTATGTACGACAACGTAGGGGACAAGGACCTCGTAAACTTACACATCAATTGAGTTAAAAGTAAACTGAAACAGAAATTAAAAAATATTTGAATTATGACCATTTATCATCACTCATAATATCATCAACATTATATCATAATATCACCAAAACTAATCGAAATTGCCTCCAATTAAATTGAGTCAACTCTTGTTCATTTATATATACACAATACTAAAAAGCAATTTGACGTATTAACATTATAAAATATAAAAGTAAATGGAAGTTCCCATACAGATACAGTCGGTAAAAATTCTCCATAAGTATGGACACGAAAGTTCTTACTCGAAAAAATACATCCAATATAAGCAAATCTTAACATACACAAAAGTTATAACAAATACTTATTTTTTCTCTTTTTATTAAGAGATTTTTTTATTTAATTTATTTAATAATTTAAATGTACTTTATGTAATTATGTTTAAATATTTGCAGTGGTGTGGTGGAACGGGTATACCATATTACACATATATTACATAGCGTATAACAACTTTTCCATTTTTTTTATTGATGCGTATACTTATAATACAATTTTTAATATGCGAGTATACGGATACATCAGCAACTAACAAAATTTAAATATAAACTTTATAGCTATAACCAGTTAACAAATGTTGTCTTTTTTTTCTATCAAAATCAAAAATACCAAACATATTTCATTGTTATCATGTTTATTAGGAACGGTTATTGTTTTTACATTTTACATATCATTTTTTATTTTAATTCCACGAAAATATAGTATAAAAATAGTTACACTGCTGCAAGTGGTTAGTTTTAAATTTTATTTTATTGATTTTAGTGCTGTATTTTAATTTTGTTAGTTATTCTTATCGCTCATGGACAACAAATAAATTGGGGTGATAGAAATTCACTCTACTCATTTTTTTACTTAAAATTAGTGTATACTCAAGACTTTTTTTAGGAATACATCTCTGGATATTTGTTTATTTTTAGATTTGATAAATATGCGTAAATTCGAATCCAATTTTTAATTTAATATTAGTAAAATATTGAATTTTAATATTGTATACAAAGTTTAACACTATAGCTTCATAAAATATTATTGCATAAGTGTCAATTAAATATCAAAACTTAGTTATTGATTAAGTATTTATACAGTCGATTGTTATTTGTTAAACTGATATATAATAATTAAAAACCCATTAGTAAGAACAATTCACGTGTTTTTGCCGTTCTTCTGTTCATATTTATATCAAGTATTTTACGCACGGTCGAATCTCACCGGAAACCGAAGCGTCTTACTAGGAAAAATGGTTACTTTTATGTAATAAAATGTATTTGTGGTAATCAATCCGATTTACGTAAGGGAATTTTAACGAACAGTTTAATTAAATTGTATGTCCAACTAAATGCAATAATTGTTTTAAATTTAAACATTTAGAGTATAAGATATTTGACTTTTTTTGAAAACTTTATTTAAAATTTGTTGAACCATTATTATTGTAATTTATTATTAATTACTAAATAAAATTAATAATAAAATAAAATAAAATTATTGGTTTCTTTTAATATATTATCATAACATTATCATGTTATGAGAAGACCATATTATGTATTAAATTATCTAAAAAAATAATACAGATGTTTGGATATATATTTGTAATGGAACTTATATTTGAATAATTAATGTATATAATTAAATGCATTAAATGACTAAAATTTTTAGACAGTGTATTGTTTACTGTTGAATAGAATATCGTTTTCATAAAAAATATGGTGAAATCTTATCTACATTTATACATTTTTTATGTTGATTTATTGTATAAATTATAGTAATTGGTGGATAAAAATTCAATTTTTATAGACTAAACAAAAAAAAAAAAAAAATAAATAATTAAAAATAAGTTTTTTGGCTATATTTTTGTTTATTCATTTGTCTTTAAATATGATGTATTACAGTATATTAAATTAGTAATTTAGTGTATCACCTATATGTGTTTGGTGTTATTGACAAATAATTGTATTATAATATTTATTCATGTACATGTACTTAAGAGTTTATATAATTGAATTGTTTATTTAATATTAAACAATAATAATTATTATAATATTATATTATATTATTAATTATAATAATTGATATTAATGAAATGACAATATAATACCATTATTTATACAAGGTGCCTGATTAATACTTAATTTATAAGACTGTATGAGTAGTATATTTAAATATGAATTATGAATAATGATTTCGTAAGGAAGGTATTTCTGTAATTTTTTTGCATGTAAAACTAGTTTTCAGTTTCAAATATAAAGCAAAAGCTGTTAATGTAATTTAAATGTTTATTATGTAAAAATGATAAATTTTATATAATGCATATTGTTCAATTAACTATATTTCTGTAGATTATGAAATCTAGTTATTAAAGTAATATTAATATTAATTCGATTGCTATCATATATACACAAATTATGATCAGAATTTTCCAGTAATCAGACGTGCATATTACATTTTTTATTTGCAATTAGTTATTACAAATGACAAATTAAAATAGTACCGTAAATTAAAATACTAACTATGCAATAAGATTTCACTCGGTGAATTCGGTACGGCTGCATTATGTATACTTTTTGGTAGAATTACTGTTAACTGTCGACGTTTTACTTTATTTCGACTATCATTACTTGTTATATTTACCAGAAAATTATACGGTCAAAAAAAATTCGTTATATTTAAAAACTATTTCATTGTTTACCTTATATTTAATTATATATTATAGACGATATTTTTGTGTTCAAACATATTGAAGTATTAAATATCTCATAAAATCATTAGTTTACTAACAATATACTAAGTATTGTATCGTAATGTCACAGTAATGACAGTAATATATCATTTTTTCTTAATTGAACACTTTATTCATAATAAACATGTTATGTATTGCATGTACACTGTAAGATTTGTAAATATCTAATATATGCGCGCACAGAACCCTTAAAAGGAAACAGAACTTTATCAATTCCGTCGTTACCTATATGAATTATACAATTTACAGTCAGTTATCCAGCTCTGTTTATATATATATATATATTATATTAGTTTCATCAATGATAACTATGGCGATTATAGAATATAGATTAATTGCAATATAATTTTTATGAAAACATTGACTTCTACATAGATAGAAGTATATCATTAATATTAAACTTAATAATTCGATATAGTTACTCAAATTCTTCGAACTTTAATAAAGAATGGAACTATATACTTGAAATACATACTTAAATTGTTTGATAAACGAAAATATGTTATGAAAGTGTATAGATAGCTCGAAAATTGTACATATTAAGACAAACAATTCACTAATATACGTTTTTGTATAAATTAAGTTTTTATAACACAAGCAGAATAAAATATTTTCTACTTTTCCTTGGAACTTTTAATAAAAATATGTGTAGACGTCTACCATTTGGAATCCTAATTTATATTTATATTTTAAAACATTAAAAATCAGCACAGAAACAAATGTAAGGTAAAAGGTAAATAAATTATATATGTAACAACATCTAATAAAATTCAAAATATAATCAAAAAATCTTAGTTTTGATATTAATTGTTAATTTATTGTAATAATAATTATGAGCCAAACTATTACATGAATACTCATTTTATAATAAATTAATTTTGAAATATACCTATGTCGATTTAATTTATATCAAAATATATTTTATAAGTTCCTATTAAATATTTTGAAAATTTAAGATAGTTTATTTAATTTAAAGAAACGTATGACATATATTAATACGTATACTCGTATTTGGACTTCAACACGAATTTTTTTCATATAATTAATTAATTTATTTATTTTATTTAAAAAAAGATTGTTATATAAAATAGAACTCTGAATATATTTTTATAGAACAACGTGTTAGAGAACAAAAGATTTCTGGCGTTTTCTTGCGTAAAACAATAAAACTATTTACCTCACTCATAATACAATATCATTTATAACAATAGGATCAGAATAATTTATTATGTCATGATTTACAATTCTCAGTTGGAGTACCCAATGAGGTAAAAATATTTAAATTTAGTTACATAATATTCACTTCCCTGAAATTTTTTATTACACTAATTATTTTTAATTTTTTGCATATTTTCGTAATTAAAAAGGTATATGATGTACGAAGACATTATTTAAAATTTAAAATTTACATTTTTAGGCTATTTTAAAGTAACTAATCCATCAAATACGTATTAATCAACAGTAATTATTGTTGTTTAAATATTGAAAATCATTTAACAATTAAGTATAAAATAATACATTTTTTTCCGTACACTTGATACAGTTTATTACATATTGGCTTGTATTGTAAGTAGTCTATCAATGTTTTGTAAATGTTTTTTTTTTTTGTGATTTGTAATAAAATCAATATAACTAAAAATGCTTTAAAATGTAAATAGATTGTAGATTGAATGGTGAATTTTGAATTTACTGTAACCGTTTTAATTATATCTTATCATAATATTAATAAGGCAAACATCTCCCTTCACGAAGTTACAAAAATATTTTTATTTTTAGAACAAACAATAGTAGTTGACGAAGTTAATATTTAGTTATTTCAGAGTAATTATTGTTATAAATAATTAAACGAATTTGGTGGAGAAACTCACAACACTGTAAAATATGTACAACTTTAGTACAGAATATATTAGTTGTGCTTGAGATAAAACATGTTAGGTCAAAAAATGTTATAATTTTTAATAATTAAATGATTTATTGTAACTTATTTTTTTATAAAGTAATTTTTTTTTTCAATGTTTATGCAAAATATTGGTTTTTGTTACAAATAAAAATAAACTAATTTTATAGTTGCGATAATATTAAAATTTTTTAGTTTTGAATATTTCATCTTTCGATGAAACATGTTTTTTCCGAGTACAATAGCAGTGCCAGGAATGGGCCCGTTACGTTCATGGCCCTACCTGAAAATGACTGACTCGACTCCACCAATGGCTTTGCCGCTGGTTTGATCTTAGACATAATTATATAGTCAATTTTTATAAGTAGAATTATTTTTTAAAGTAGTTTTGCCTTAGTATTTTAATCATTTAAATTTTTAAAACATAGTTATTAGCTCATATTAATTATTATTTATTTTTTTTTTTGCTGAAGTCTCATTTTTTTTGGACTCTACTTTATAACTATTAGCCTCCTATTGACCATATTTAAAAAAATTCTGATTTTAGCAAACATATAATTTTGAATCAATTAATCAAATTATGAATTATAATTTATAATACTGGAATGCCCAGCATATTTTCCTAAATACCTCCGTAGATGTACATTGTATTTAAAATTATTATGTTTTAGCGTAAATTCGTTGAAGCGACATTATGAAAAATATAAAAACAAATAATTTGATTTTAAATTGCGATACTTAAAAATTATTCTACTTCTATCGTGACTATTGAAAGCTATTTTGTAATTATTTTGAAATTTAAAATACAATAGTTATTTTTCATTCAGTTAAGGAATGAAAACAGGAATTTGGTAATAAATTGTTCTGTAAAATACTACTATAAAAGTTTACTAAAACAAAAGAATTGGAAAAATAAATTATATCTACGGAGATATTTCCATGGCAAGAACCCAGCATATATAGGTACTGTAGCTATTCATAAAACACCGAGCTGCACTTACGATAGAACCGTCGAGTAGTTATAATATTCACAAATACATATGTTAATATATGTATATATATATATAAAAAAAAAAAAAAAATAGTAATAAGAATTTTTAACGAAACAATCAAAATATAATGCACTGTCAAAATTGTAAAATTTCGGGACGCATTTAAATATATATATATATATATATATATAACTATATAATCATACAACCAGAAAAAAAATATTAATATTTGTGTTATAAAATGTAAACGCACCGGAATCAATTAATTTTTTTCCCCGCGACTCGTGCGCGGTAAAATCTTTGCTGTTTAGTACTTCTATTAAAAAATTAAAACCGACGCGCTAACGAAACGACAAACGTACAACAACAGGCACGTCGGCGAAACAACATCGCAGACAGTCAAACGTACTGTCGAAAGTTTCTGTAACGCGCGAGTACGCTTTGAAATCGCGCGAAATCTTACCGGGGAAAAACGTTCTCGGACAAAGCGAACCGATCGGAGCACGCAAACGAACGGGCGGCAAACACGTGCACATGTGGCGTGGACGTCGCGATCACGCGGGCGCAAGTCGCGGAACTTCGTTGCCGTCCGCACGAACCGCCGAGCGTTTGCCGTTTCGCGTTAACGTAACGGCGTACGTACAAGTCGAAATGAAAAAGAGAGAGAGAAAAAAAAAAAGAGAGAAATAAAAATAAACGCGTTCTCCGCTCAAGTTTACGATCAATAAACATAATAATAATAACGCGAGAGTGAAACCGGACCGGTCGCCGCCGTCTCGTCCGGTGAGATAACGATGACCAATATGTGGTTTTAATCTAAAAACAAATCCGGAAACGCGCGATTACGTTGCCCGTCCGTCGGCAGCGCGTCCCCGCGCGCGCGGACATGCGAAGGCGCCGCCGTCAACCAGTTACGATATTGTAAGTTCGTATCCCACCACAACGGGATCTGCGAACGCCATTAGTGCCAAGTCCGAACGTATATAACCGCAATCGTTGATCATCGAACGTATCAGTCGTGTTCGATCGAAGTTTGCGCGGCACACGGAGACAACACGTTCATACGTTTCAGTATATTGAACAACTGCAAGTGCAAGACCGTCGAGTAAACGAAAATGGCATCCAAGGTAAGCGTTCTGGAACGCAGATATCGGATTTTTGAAAACAATTCAAAGTCCGAAAACTGACGGTTGTAACATGCTTAATATGTCCCCTTCTCTATTTTAACCCTTTGTAGATGTTGTCCGTCTGTTTGGTGATCGTTTTTTCCGGCATGTGCTTGTGCCAAGACAACGCTGCGTCGGTGTACTCGCAACAGTCTGATGGTTCAAAGGCATCGTTGCAAACGAGATCGGCTGCCGTCCAACAGATCAAACTCGAAGACATCGAACGCGATTCTTTGGCCGCGGCCGCTGCTTACGGCCAGAAAAACCAACAGCAAGCCGGCAAACCTGCAGCCCCCGCAGCCATTGCTCAACAACAACCGCAGCAACAGTCCTACCAGGCCGTCGCACCACAACAACAGCAACAGCAACAACAACAGTTCTACGTGCAGCCGTACAACGCCCAACAACAACAGTTCTACGTGCAGCCGTACAACGCCCAACAACAACAGTACTTGGCCCAACCGTACCAGTCCGCATTCGACTACGCCGGCGTGCAGTACATGATCATCAACCCCAACGCCTACAACCCTGTGAACCCGATTTACCAGCAGTACTACGTGCCAGCTGCTCAACCAGCCACCGTACCCGAATACGTGACCAAGCAGTCGATCCCGGCCCCGGCCCAACAGGAGTACAAACAACAACAAGCCGCCGTCTCGGTTCAGGCCCAACCGCAGTACAGACAACAGTTCGCCGCCGTCGCTCCGTCCGCTCAGGCGCAACAGGAGTACAAACAATTCTCCGGAGCCGCCGTGCCGTCCGTCCAGACCCAGCAAGAGTACAGACAACAGTTCGCCGCCGCCCAGGCCCAACAGGAATATAAGCAACAGCAAGCCGTCGCCGCCCCGGCTCAGTCCCAACAACAGTACGTCGTCCCCGCACCCGAGTACCGGTACGTCCAACAACCGGCCGCCGCCGCCGCCGCCGCCGCCGCCCCCATCGCCAGTCCCGTCGCTAGTCCCGTCGCCAGCCCCGTCGATTTCTCGTACGTCACCCGCCACCCGGCCACTACCGGCGCTCAGTTCAAGGCCCAGCCGCAGCAGTTCCAGTACAACACCGTGCCGCAACAGTTCCAACAACAACAGTACTACTACACCGTACCGGCCTCCGCCGCCGCCCCCGCTGAACAGCCACGCGTCCAGCAGTCGGCCAAGAGCCAGTACTCGTCGGGAGTCAAGTCCACCACGCCGTCGCCGTTCAAGGAGCCGTTCGCATACAAGTTCGAATCCTCCCCGCCGGCACCGCAACAGCAATCCGGTTCAGCTTACAGCACCCTCAGATACTCCGCCTAGACGTGCCGTGGCCGAGCACGCGTAACTCGCGCGCATCGCGTACAACCGTCAATCATTAATCGTTATCATTATTATTATTATTATTATTATTATAATTGTTATTATTACTATCGTTGTAGAGTTTAAGGACTATTAGTGCGTTCGTCTCGATATTATGTGTTATTTATTCCGGGATCGTCTGAGTCGCACGCATCAGCTCACGGGTACCCTCGTGCCCGGGCGCGTGCGTGCACCGTGCGTCCCGAAAAAAAATAAATAAAATAAAATTAATAAAAAAAAAAACAAAAAATCTCGTACTCGGTTGTATCGTGTATTTGTCGACTAACTTCCCATGTTTTCGAACCGTGTTCGCGCTCACCGTTTCGCCAACACGTCATTATTTATTGCGATATCTTGTGGCGTTTCGTGAAAACGCTTGTGAATACACGTGAAAACGCTTCGATCTATATATATATATATATATATATATATATACATGTACAATAAAAAAATGCATATATGTATGGAACGAACACCATTGGTGTACTTGTTTTCAACGGGCCGCCGAAAACTTTTCCATTTCACATAACGGCCCTAGAAAACGTTTAATCTCGTGAAACTGTTCGCGACTTACCACCGCGATCAGGTATGCGACGTGTACGCGTGTTGCGCAATAGTCGCAGCGCGTCCGTCGCACGATAAACGGTACATTATGTACCGATCTATTATTACTTTTGTGGCCCGTGCGCGCCACTCGTTGAACATCGACTCGACTCGTTTCTACGGTCGGTTACGCAACGATTCACTTATGTAAATACGTACTTCCTAATTATTGCAATTAAGCGGTTTAACATATTCCTGCTACTTACTAAATCAATTGGTTGTTCGCGTAAAAGGAAACGTGCGACTGGCATTAGAAGACGTCTATAACATTACAACAGTAGCATTCGTACTACGAATAACGTTTGTTTGGTTTTATCGAACTTCGAGGGCGTTGAATTTAACTATATTTATATTTGCTTTACTAAATCTAGAGGACAATATTGATTGGAAAATAGTTCAAACGTATTTATGGTTACTATACCGTCCGTAATATTTAAAAAATTTGGTCTAAAATCGAAGGAAGTCGTAACTAATTTTAAAAATATATGGACATTGTGTAAAAATGTACTTAAAAATTTTAAAATAAAATAAAATAAAGCAGTTAACATCATGAAGTCTGGAGTACGTTAATTTATGACAATGTTAACACACTTTTACAGTTTTAACATAATAATAGTTTATTAAATTAAAAATTATTTTATGACTCGTTTGAATTTCATAAAATGATTTTTAAGTAGGTATGTTTAAACAGAACAGTGTATTTACTTATCCGATAGATTAAGAGAATCTCTTAGTTCATATTATATATGTTAAATATTACATATTACTATGCAAACCTTAGTATAGGGACCGTTTGAGTTCAATACAAATTTTATATAACAACTTTGAATGACTAATTTCAAAAATAAAAATAAGTTGACATAGTGTTGCATAAGTATTAGGTTTCTATAAATTATTCTAGTTATCTATTTCATAGCAATGAAAATTAGAAAACTATGATATTCCAGCAAAATATGAGGAATAAGTTAAAACAACTTTACATCTGAGAGTAAATGACTCTTACTACTTTTAACTCTTTATTTTATCTACTATAGGGTAAAAAAAATATTTTATTTTAAAATTTTTAATTGAATACCAAGTTAATGTAAAATTACTTGTCAATGTGTGAAAGTATATATTTATAAAAAAAATTAAGAACGTTTCGGCTTTTTTTTCTATTTCTTTATTTTTTATGATTTATACACATATTATAGCTTTCTATATGACAAAATATGTTAGGTAGTAGATTGTTTAAAATTTACAAGATAAATTTAATATATTAACCTACACATAAATAGTTAAATATAAATAATATAAATATGTGTAGATACATTTTACTAATTAATATTTTTAAGCATTTAACTGCTTAAGCTATATTATTGTATACGATACCTTTTAAAATATTGTTTAATAATATCAGCTTAAAGTCTGAGCCCAAAATTCATCAAATGTTTTAATATTTTTAAAATGTTTATATTTTAGAAAATTTAGAGATTATTATGTTACAATCTATAATATAATGATGATTCAATGTATAGTAATTTTTTTTCGGTACATCGTGATGTACGATGACAGAATATCTCTTCAATTAAAATTCCGTTATTTTCAAACACACTAAACTTTGGTTAATTAAGTTAATTTTAGAGCTCATAATAAAAATCATAGAAATCATTGCGGTTGATCTAATTAAGTTTAATTTTAAATTTAACGATTAATATATTATGATTATGTTAAATATTATAGATTAATTTATGAACTGGATATTTATGATTATAATTTAATTACTCAATTATGAAATGAAAAATTATTATTACATATTGTCATTACTTTAGATGATGCTATTCTTAATGTGTAGAATAATATCCCGGACACGGACACATAATACTCAAATTGTTGATGAATGAAAACCGTCGTTGAATGAAATTTGTTTCGTAAAATTGAAATATAAGATACACTATATATATATATGTGTGTGTATGTGTATGTGTATTTGTATGCGTGTTTATTATATAGGCAAATACTGATTAAAAAATTTTTCACCAACGAGTAAATTACGTATTTTTCCCGGACTGTACAATTTATTGTGTAACAATTTAACACATGGACTACATAAAAAACGAAGAAAAAAAGACATAATAGATGGCGGTAACATTCAGACATGACAAAATGTTTATTGGGACCACCATACATTTGAAATACTTTCCCTTGTGAATTGTTCCAATAGGCAATAGTGATGTTATACAATAGTCAGTAAACTCTGATACATTTAATGATTCCGTCTTCATCATACTGGAAATAATGAAAAATATAACAAGAAGTTAATAATTTCTAAATTCTAGCGAAAGTTGAGTTATATTGGTTATTTATGTTATATCTGTTTCAAATTAAAATGTGCCTAAACGAAAAATAAAGGATTTCTGATTTTATCAGACTTAAAATTACTTATAAATAACGATAATGATCATAAAAAAAAATATATTTGTACAAGAAAATCTAATAAACATTTAGGATCATTGACCTAATTTTATCTTCATATAACTAATTAGTATGAGTTATCTCAACCATTATGATCCGTCTTCATGCATGAGGATTTCACATCAGTTAGCATAATATACGTTTTGTTTCGAATTATTATACATAATAAATTCGTTGAACTTTGTTATTTTTAAAAACTCGTATAGCAAATTGTGTTGTACGTAGATTAATATTTAGTAACAATACGATATACATAACTGAATAAAATTGAAGCAGAAACTTTAAAAACAAGGGCATTATTTGTCGACACTTATTGTTGTTATAATTTATTAGTAGAAGATAATTAGACAAATGAAAAAGATTATACTGTGTATTACAGACTTTATCATTACTCTTCTCCATTAGAATATGTGTACAATTTATAATTATCTGCTTATGTGTAGACGTTTACTATGAAAGAGTTTTCACATTTTTTTTTCGTAGTTGCTTACTATTATGGTAATTAATGTCATCTTAGATCAGTTTCACAACTAATATGCGTAACGGGTATATGTTTAATTTCCATTCAGATCGTAAGCAAAACCGTTAATTCAGTCTACTATGAAACGAATCTTGAAGGAGCCTGTCCACGTACTTCACACAGCTGATTGTTTTTATGTTTTTAATACATTTTGAATATTTTATTATTAATTTTAACGATGTATTGTCTTACAGAATGGCTTTTTAAAATTTTTAAAGATTGTTAATTTATTAAACGATAATTTTAAATTGTATACTCAATGAATCATTCTCCAAAAAACCATAGTTTGAATATATTTATAACGTAGAATATAAATAAAAAAATAATTTAATATACCAATAGTATTTTAAGTTAATTAATAGAATCTTAATTTAAATAATTTACTGTTAATTTTATTTGAATGAATATTATGTTTTAATTGCTTCTATATATATATAAAAAAAAAAAAATCATTTAAATAGAGATTTTGCTAATTAGAGCTCATCAAAGTTCAAAATAACTATTTCATATTGTATTTTTTATTTGTGTGACTAAAAATATACTACCTATTGGAACAGAATACTAATTATAATTAATTTTAAGTACATGTAAAAAATGTAGCGTATATCATAATTTATAAGTAGTAAAAGTAAGTTAACACGGCCACATTCCTATAAATAATTTCCATTTTTTTATAATATTAATTGACGAACAATAACTATCACTGGATCCATTTTTAATGCATTTTAGCTATATGAATCCTTATTACTTATCATAAAGTTGGAAACTTTATAAATAATGACATATTTTTTTTATCTCTTCGAGTTACCAAATTTTTAATTTATAAATTTATAATAATGTATATAACAAAATAATATACTATTAGTAAATAAGAACTAATTAATTTAGTTATTATTATATTATATTGGTTCATTTATAAATTTATAATGTGTTAGTTATTCATATGCTTAAATGCATTTTGATTTCAAATTTTCAATTACCAATAAAGTATACAATATATATTGGTTGAACTAAAAAACTACGAATTGCATTCATCATAATTTCTTAGTTAGATTTTATATGACTATAAACATGTTGCAACGTATTACATCAAACAATATCATAGTAATAACTGTCACTAACAGCATGTCATCTCGGAATAAAATAATAATTTAGTGTCGGGAGTACTCTTTAAGAGTCAATTAGAGACGGTTTGAAAAACACGATATATTAGGGAGACAAACATAATGTAACGTAGAATACAAGATCGAGGTGCTTGAGTTTTACTTTCCTTTATCATTTAATTAGCTTTTACTAAATATATTTGTTTTAATTTATTGAACACACGAGTATATTTTTATTGCATTGTGATGAGTTTTCCACTTTCTGTCCGTCCACCACCATCCTTTCAATTATTCCGCTTTCTTGATGCGGAACTGTCTTGGATAGAGCTGACCAAAACGGACAAACATTCTTCAGTCGTTCAATCACGGTTTTCCGACACGACTCCGTTCGTCAATCTAGTACAGTAACTCGTGCAGAATCGTCGTTAGTGATTTTTATTTTTTTTCTCCGTCCTTCATATTGCATTCAATTCATTAGTGCTTTTAAACAACGATATGACATAGTGAAACTTATATTTTATTTTTTTTTTTTTTGCAAGATATATTGTGTTTTTATTTCGTTGGCCGAAAAATATTTTATTAAGTCGAAACCATTATGATGAATTTAAATATTTTGGTAATATTCATTGTTCAGTATATTAATTTTGTTTCAGCACTATACATGTGCTATTTTTTCGATCAACATTTGTATTAACTCGTAATTAAAATTTATTGTTTCTAGGTGATTTTATGCTTTGTTCAATTTACATTGAGCGAAGACCGAATATCCGTGGACACGGTAGGTACAATAACAGCAACTGCAGGTTATTCGATAACCGATAATCACTCCCCAACTGCATCGAGTCTGACTTCAAGCATAGAATTCCCGGGTGACCACGATACTTCGAAAGACTCGTCTTCGTCGGTCGAAACTTATTCCCCGGGTGCTGACTCCCGAAGCACTCAAAGCTTAGGACTGCGAAATAGACAAGCCAGAGGAAAGCCAAGCCAATGGCAATCGAGTGGAAGTGTCGAAGAAAAAGATCCTGGAATCGCGACATTTCCGTTGACTGATCATCATGTGAGCGAACAATTGTACAACGTTAAGCCTCAGACGTTTGATATTCAATCGTCGCAGTCAACAGACATTAAAAGCGATGAAAGCGTCGAGAAGACCATTGCGTATAACAAAAAGATGCAAAAGAACGATGGTCACGATGACCGGCCGGTTTTTACCGATTGGTCAGAAGAAATTCGTATGAAATTCGACAATGATAAACCAATTAGATCACGTAGGAAGAACAAAAATCAGCAGGATAGTGTACAACAGGAGAAGAGAAAACAGCAGATGAAAAAGTTGACAAGTGGAAATACCGATAAAAAAGATGGCTGGCAAGAACTGACTCCTAATATGGAAATGGCTACCGGGATCATAACAACCGTACCAGATCATGATTCTTCACAGGATACGTCTGGTAGCTCAGGTACGTTAAAAAATAACTATAAATTTTGTTTTTTGCTCATTCATGTACAAAATATTTTTGAATAACACAACGCGATTGTATTTCTCATTTCGCTAAATTTATGAGTAAATTAACATTTGTATTAATATTTTGTACAACATCAGTAATAAATTATTAATATTTATGATAAATTTAAACACTTACATTTTCTTTGATAGGAATAGTATAATTGTTTTGGAATTTTGAATAAAAGTGAAAAAAAAAATCTAATTAAATGCAATAGCTACTAAAATAACTAAATAAATTGTTAAAATATTTATTAACGATCTTCGGAATGTTATAATCAAAATAATTAAAATTTTTTACGAAAAACAATAATAATTAACAACTACACAGAAAATATTTTGTTTATAAGTCTTTAAATGTTAAATTTAATAGTAAAAAAGAAACAATTCCGGATAAATAATATGATAAATAAATCAATACTCAACTGTGTCAGTACTGTCGAAAATAATACGTCGGGCACAAAAGTAAAACGCTACAATTATACATACTTTATAGTTAATACATTATTTATGAACAATTATCCAAACCGTAAGGATCTATTCTTAACTCAACTACAAATTTAAATCATTATAATATTTCATTTGTACGGAAAACATGGAAAGTATAACTATAATGAAAAATATGAAACGATATTCGAGTCATTAAAATCTTACGGACTAATTAAACTCTTCTATTTCCTTCGGTTACTAAATCTAACCAACGAATTAATGAAAACTAATTAATTTACACGGAGTGAAAATTTTTATTCCCCTGTAGTGTTTTATGATTATACATAATATTTTGCAACAGCGGTCTGTATGCACGTTAATGCACACTCGCGCACACACGTGCGAACGCGAATCGATTGTTTTTTGACATTAAATTATAATACCTACCGTGGTGCGTAGTAAAATACATAATATGATACGTTGAGGATGAGCGTAAAATAATCGAAACCATAACGTTGGCGGCGTTTTTTTCCACACCGTCATTGTGTATCCGTCCGACGCGACGACGAGAGTATAATAATGCGATCCGTCGCTCGCCGTCGGAGAAAGTGTTTAATCTATTACCGATACTCATTCCGTTTATCGTATGTTACTCCGGGTTTTTCCGTGAATGTTTTTCAAACGCATTGTTTTCGTACACTCGTTGCAGAATCGTTCAAGGTGTCCCACCCGGGCCTGTACCACTCGGAGAGCATGTCCAGCATGGAGACCGCGGAACAGGTGGAGCCGCAGAACTTCAACCACAAGCAAGTGCTGTCGAAGATGAACCATTTCGACTTCAGTAACGCGGTGTCGCAGACGAACAAGATGCCGCAACCCAGGGAGAAACGGCTAAACTACCAGGTGCCCGGCGGCGGCAACCTGGCCGCCAGGTACCCGTTCAGCGGTGGCGGCATCGGAGGCGGTCAACCGTTGCATGGTCTGGTGCCGTCGTCGCCCACGCCCGCGGTCGTCAAGTCCGTGAAAATCGAACAGCCCAACTACCACAGCATCGTGGTGCCCATACCGATCTCGCACCAGATGTACGCGGCCATCGGCGGCGACCCTAGCTTACCGGTGCACGGCCACCAGTTGGCCAGCAGCACGGTGCAACAAGCGATGATGTCGCTGCCGGTCGTGCACAACGTGTTCTTCAAGACGGACGAGAACGGAGGCGGCAAGACCATGCCGGCCATAGTGATACCCTTGAAACCGGAATACCTGCAACACTTACAACAACAGCAGTACATGCACATGCAGCAGCAGCAGCAGTCCTCTCAGGACGTGGTGGCCCCGGACTCGCAGAACGCGGCCGGTCACCAGCGTCCCGTGCACCAAGTGGGCAGCGGCACCAAGGCGTTGCATTACCAGCAACAGCATCAGCAGCAGCAACAGCAGCAACAGCAGCAGCCGTTGACACCTCCGCCGTACTCGCAAAAGCCGAAATCGGTCAAGGTCAAGAAGCCGTTCGGCTTGATAAAAGACGAACAGCACCGCGTCGTCAAGCAGCCGTTCGGTCTGCAGCACCAGTTCTACAACAACCCGTTCGCGGGCGGCGCAGGAGGTAGCGGCGGCGGCGGAGGCGGCGTTGGCGTCGGAATCGGCCACCAGCAGCAACACCTGGCGCACCAACACCACGGCCACCACGTGCAGCAGCAGCAGCAGCAGCAGCACGACTCCGCGGACGATTCGCGGTACGTGCAGACGCCGGCCGCGTCCGTTCCGCCGGCCGGCCACCCTTACGCGCAGCCCGGCCACTCGCTGATCGTAAAGCGGCCGCACGCGTACGGGTACGCGGCGCCCGTGGTGCCGACCGCGCCCAAGTACCTGCAGGCCGTCAACAAGTCACCGCAGCAGCTGCAGCAGCCGTCCACCGAGGAGTTGGCCTCGGTCATCGCGCAGCAACAGCTGCAGCCGTACAAAGCGACCACGTACCACCCGGGTTTCGCGTACCTGAACGGCCCGGACGACGAGTACCCGTACAGGCCCATTTACAAGGACATGAAAAAGCGCAGCGACCTGTCACTCCCCGTCCGGGACGACCGGCGCAAGTGATTCACCACCCCCGATCGACATACTACTACTATTGCTACACTACAATATTAAACGCCTAAACGGTTTTCAGGACTTTGTCGACCTACTACGACAGTAATTGTTAAGGATTATTCATCTATAGGTAGACGAAGACTATACGCTAAGACGGAACAACGTAATTATTATTATTGGTCTACGATAAATTAATATTTATAAGTATGTGTGTGTGTATATATATAATAATATTTTTAGATTCGCATTGCTACTGTTATTATTATTATTATTATTATTATTATTATTAGCATTATTATTATAATATTGTGTGACTCGCCATATAGTATTCGCGAACAATAAATCGTTACTATACAATATGAAGTAAAAAAAAAAAAAAAAAATGTATTAATCTTGTATTAAAAATCGTATATCTCGTATTATTACGAGAACCGTAGGCCGTCGTCGGTAAGTAGTCGGGTACGACGTTCTGTTTTATTCCGACGGTCCGTACAATCACGGTACGCTGATGTGCACGCGTTATCATGATACATGCTTTCGACAGGCACACGAAACATCAATAACGTACGGCCGTACGCACCACGTGCGTTGTCCGCGAACCGTTTTTACCCGTTGTCACGAGAGCCATCGACAGGTTAGCGTTGCCCGCGCGAACGGACAACGCGGTCTCATCGCAGCCCGACCGAGCCGACGACGATCGCCGCCGAAGGTTCGTGAAACGTCCCGGTCGCGTCGCGCGTGCGTTGCTTTCACGCAGACGTACATCATTCCGAATCGTCCATTAAAATCCGATTTCCAAGTGAAACGTGCACTGTGTATACGTAGAGATGCGTACGAATATTTTTGTATCGACCGGTAGTCGTCGCTGTGTTTTTTTTTTTTTTTTCTAACATGTTCAACGAAACGAAAATTGTGTTTATTTACACGCGCACCGATTTACGCACGATTATTTATACCGGCTCGCGCGGATCCGTTACGTTAATGTTTTCGTCCGTGCAGTCGAGGTACATTCGAGTTGATTTCGGAATCAACGAACCTTGTCTGTTTCATCTCCGACGTTCGGTTTTCGATATGATAATGACTGAGGAAATCTATCGCGTTCGAGTTCGTATTACTAACTAACTCGTAACGTCTTCCGCGTGTGCCGCATATATATAAATGTCGATTATTATGATCTACGTAAAAATATTCCGATTAGTTTCCTCGTCCCGAGCCGATGGCAATTCCTCGGGTAGAAATTATTTGAATACCGCCATTACGTTGGTCGAAAACCTTTGAAAGCTAGTTTTTTTTTTTTTTTCCATTCGATATTTGTATCTAAACAATAAAGTAGCTTAATGCTACTCCGAATGTACTCTGATTTTCTACGGCCATTTCAAAAATTGCGTTTACAGTTCGTGCGGTGGATAGAATATCGTGTTACGTCAACAGTATGTATTCCCGAGAAAATTAAATATAAAACATGAACAATTCGATACTTCAATAATTTAAAATTGAACGAGTTGGAAAATTGTCCAAAATATCCGAGTGGTATAAAAACGATTTATGTAAGAACGAATAAATAAAATAAAATATTATAGGTAGTTTACGGTAATTCTGTGGTTTTTCGATGCTTTAATTGTTGTTGAGGTTGAATGATCACTAACCTAACTAATAACCTAACCATAACGTTATCATAACGCTATCAAACTAAAACGTTTCAGTACAAAAGCTTAATTAGAGACTATTGTCACGTTTGTAACACTTAGATATTAATTGATTTAAGTGTGGAATGGTTTGGTTACTACATAAACAGTCGGGATGGACGTAAACAACAAATTCGATTAAATCATTCCGTCCCATCGCGATAGTACACTAACATTTAAATACAGCCACAGTTATAAAAAAATGTGATCGTTTTCTAATATGATCAATCGTCGTTTTTACAACACATATGATAAAAATATAATAAATAAAACGTGAATACGACTTTTAATAATAATAATAATAATAATATAATAATACATATACTATCTCTATTACCATCGAATTACACCTATTATTATTATTATTATAAGAATTTTCGATTGCAATATATTATAACAGCACAGTACAAATTATAATGACAGTGTGGCCAATGCGACGAGATGGATGATGTGATAATGATGTTTGACGATGATGGCTGATGTATGCATACTCGGTATACAATAAGTGCAGATGCAGTACCGTGCAAGGCGCCTGGGCATGAAAACGTGAAATTTAATGATTTCATGCTTTCCCATGCCCGCTGGCTAGAAAAATGTACAAGGTCCGACAGAGTAATACTCATGTATACATTTTCGGACGATTCACTTTCAATGATTATCTTAGCTCGATGAATTCGTGCTAAACAGATTTAAACATTCCCTCTTCGAAACGCGGTTGGCGTTGCACACGATACCGTAGAAAGTGAAATTCACCATGCAGAATGGTAAACAGTTATAATTAGAACTCTATTTTTATTATTTACCGTACAGGGCGATTTTTTTCGTAAGATTCGTATCTTTAAAAACTCGAAGAACTCAAATGGTTAATCTTTGTTATTTAACTTAAAGTTTCACCCAAACCCCGACGTTTTTTAAAATTCTTATTGCATTGATTTTTCGTACTTCTGGCTATAAATATCAGTGTATTATTAAACGATGACCACGCTACCGTAGTTTGTTTTTAAGATTAATTAGCATGCTTTATAGAAGATTTTTATGGAGGTAGAGATATTTTATCTTATTCGTTATAAATTAGTATGTTCACCTACATCGTTTAAAATATACGATAGAAATATAGATACGATAAGTACATAACGTGACATCGACAGTGATCGGTCCCGAAGGTAGTGGATTGACATGATCAACACTAATATTAACACTTAACAGTTTTATTGGAAATCGAACCGCGTTGGTAAATTATATATACCGCGTTTTTCGAGATAATTTGATATGCTAACAAATTCGATGCTTTATTCAAAGATTTTTATGAGTGAAGAACGCGATATAAATAATATATTTTCCTCTTTGATGATGACCTGTACCTACTACATGGTATTGAATAAGATTTATTTTATGAAATTTTAAAATCTCTTATATACCTATACATTTTAAGCAAAAAAAAAAAAAAAAAATCATTGGTTTTATTATCATCGGTAAACGCTAAAATGTATTCCACTGACTATAATTTCATCATCCCGGATATGTTTTCATCCACAATTGAAATTGATGGAATTTTCCCCGCTTTAATATCGCAATACCGTAAAATGTTATAACAGCAACCATAATATCGAAGAACAACAATAATATACGCTCTAGTGAATAAGTAGTAGGATTTTTTAAATCTAATCTACAGATTAAAAGCCTATTTTCATTATTGTGAATAGTAACTCCGGAGTATCAGTGAATAGCGTAACAATGTAGTCTTAATGATATGGTGAACATACGTACTTACATTTTGCAATTTTATAAACTATATAGTATTATAGAGTAGAGTTAAATGCTTAGTTTTGAAATTTAATTAAAAACATTTTTATTTTAAATATTTTATGCTTTTTCATTAAAAAAAAAAAAATACCGATTCACTGGTTTAAACAAGCATTTTAATAGTCAATTTAATCATATGATAATATTATACAACTATTTACTTAATTTCATGTAAATCATAATATTATTCTTTTTATAAACATTATATTTTTAAATATATACATATTATAATATATTTATAATATATATATTTCAAAAGTTGATTTATTTTAAAAAATGTTCATCGTCTTAAATGTATTATTGATGTACCATATATATATAACGTTTATTTATTGTAAATATTTGTTTAATAAAATCATTAGTTTGCATTTTATATCCTTTTCGATACTTTTTAATATTAAAATAAAATTAATATCTATCAAAATATGTGATTTCGACCACATAATATATTTTATTTAATAATTACTTTCTAATGGAGATTTGAATTGAATTAGAAATTCCGAAATGTTATTAGAAATTATTTTATTAATTAATGGTTTTTTCTAAAATTTGCAATTAATGTCAAACAGAAATACTTAATTGTACATTCATTTTGTTGAAGTAATGGTGGATTAATAGTGTTAGAAAGATTATATGGAACGAAACGTGAAAAAATATATTAATTTGTTAATAATGATTTATTATTGTAACTTAGGTATAAACTATATATGAACACATTTTACCACAATGAGATGTTATTGTTTAAAATTGTCTTCCTGTATAATGTATTGCGTTTCAACTTTTGTGTTTATTATTATAGGTTGTGAATTTTCTCTTTTAATAAAAAAAAAAAAGTGTAATAAATAATGAATGTATAGTATAAGATTGTAATACAAAGTTATTTTTTTATTTTTGTATTTTTGTGGTTTAATCTTTTGATAATATGTTATAATTTCACGATGTGTTATTGTAGGAAACTCGAATTTAACTGACGTTTGCTTATCTAATATGTTTTATCATTCTACTTTTTTTATATCATACGTCTTCGACCCATTAACTTGACAGATATTATCGTTCATAAACCTGTATGCATTTTGATTCTACTCTGACGCATGAGATTCTGCGTCTCACTTAGATCACCGTAGTTACACGAAAATTGACCGCATCTGTAGTGCATTCTGGAACACTACGGTACACCATTGTGTGTTTCAGTTTTGGACTTATTTGCGTCACATGGCAGTTGGCTAATATTTAACTTGATTGAATCAACGGTATTTCTAATTAACACTCTACACATACTAAACTGTAGTTAACGTCTGTTCTATTTATTCATTTCGGATTTTAAGAGTATATCATATTTTATCATTAAATTAACTGTTCAACTTTTACAACTTTTTGTATTTAAACTAAATGAAATGGAATTTATACAAAAAGACTAATAGTAAGTGTTTAATTAACAAACTAACGAAATGTCAAGAATATATTTTTTTATTTTCGTATGCATTTGGCAAACGCATTAGTAAAATATTGAAAAAAAAAAATTATTCTTAGATTTCTATCGAAACATCTAATTTAATTTCTTAAGGAAAATTGGTTTACGAGCTATGGGTTTATGGGTTTGTTAATATTTAAAATCAGTTCATTAGGTAAACTTGAATCTTTCAAAATATAATGAAATATTAGTTATTTATATTTAATTATATTTATCGAATTTATTCTGAAGTAGTGAACTAAATACAAAATACAATCCGTACAAAAAAATAGTT